TCATTATCCAGCTGCTTTCATTGCCTGTTTACATTCATTGTCTGAAAGAAAATCCCAACTGCATTTTATGTTATCTAAAAGAATGCTTCTGATAAACTGCCTCGGCATTACCAGAAAAATAACATAAGCCAAATAATCATATCCTGTCACTCTGCAGGAAATGAGGAGTGATGAATTAAAAATTGAGGAGGTGAAGAAACTACAGCTTACAGGTTTGGCTGGTTTAGTTTTGTTGCATGCATCTATTTGTGATTTTCTTCCCGCAACATGTTATTTCCTAGCTCCTACTGTGTTTTACAAGATGTAATGAGTAAAAAGGACAGAGTTAGAATATAGTCACTCCCACTTATTTATTTATCGTGTTGAAAATGTTTTTATTGCGCTTATGGAAAGCACTTAGCTTCAGCAGGTGCTGTTGTGAAGCGCTATATACTGTAAAAAAAAAAAAGTTGATTTATTGATTAAACAAATACAAATGTTATCCTCACTACCAAGGAAAATTATCTGCACAGCAGATGTATGTATGTATGTATATACATATATATATATATATATATATATATATATATATATATATATATATATATATATATATATATATATATATATATATATAGAGAGAGAGAGAGAGAGAGAGAGAGAGAGAGAGATATGTATGATATATATAAAATACATTTTTTGTCTTTCTAGAGAACTTCAAGGAGCAAGATGATTTGAAAACAAATGGAACAGGGGCCAAAGAACATCAAGTACAAAGCAGGATCCTGACCGTCCAAGAGTTTCCTAACAGCTGTTTCCTCCCAGCAATGGATAATTAGTTGTTGGTCACTAAATATACTTAGATCACTAAGTGGGTCCTAAATGAAAAAATGAGCCTCGATTTAAAGATAAAAAAACTCAAACAAAGAATCTCTTTCTTCTTATCTAACAGGCTAATAATGTACTATCAGGCAGTGTTTGTGTTAAATCTGTACGCAGTTATTACATGCATGTTTAATCTTACTGGAAAATAATAAATGTCACAAAGACTCATTTGTTCTAAATTTGGGTTGACCTGTACAGTTTTGTTCTAAAGTGCCAAGAAGAATGTTTGTACTCCTTTTTATATTAGAACACCTTTGGTAAATTGTTCATACAGACCAAACATTTATCACAATGCAACCTGAGGTAGATGAACCGCAGTAGTATTATTAGAGAACATCTGTGAACTAACAAACCAGGACAAAGTTGTCCATTTGATCTGATAGACAAGACTATCAAAGCATTAATTAGATAAGCCCTTAAGATGACCTTGGTAACTCAGGAGGAGCTGCAGGTACCCAAATCTTCCATGAGGGAAATTTTAGCCAAGATAGGTATCAAACTGGAACTCCACAAATCCATCCCTTAACTCTGAACATACCCTGAACACACAATTCTTACCTTATTATAGGATGGTGGCAGCATCATGCTGTCGGAATGCTTTACTTTAGAAGAGTTGATCAGAATTGAATGAAAGATAAACTGAGAAAAATACAAGATAATACTGAACAAAAAGGTGTTGGAGGTTGCAACATGAGTTGGAGTAGTTTATCCTCATTAAACATACAACTAGAGCTGTAATGTATTGACGTAGAGCAATGGATCCTAAACTGGGGATTGGGACCCCTCTGGGGGTCATGAGACACCAAGTGGAGGAGTCACAAGATGGTTTTAATAATCTTTGTTATGTGATCCCTGAGGTATATGGAGGCCAGAATATATAATATATTCTTAGAATATATATTAAATATATAAATATGAACATTCCATAAATTTAATAAATGTACTATAAAATAAGTAGATGTTATATTTTTATCTAAGGCATGATTCAAACAGCAGACCAAACCGGAAGAAAGTGCGCATTCAGCGTCTGGTCTGCCGATAATGCAAGCGTAGAAGAAGAAATGTGCTGTTTACCTGTGCAAAGAAAGAAACAACGAAAGAAAAATGTCTGAGGACTTCAGTGTTGAGGAAGAGCATGAGTTCTTTGCCGAGCTGAATGCGCTGGTTTGGTCTGCCGGCTTCCGTAGAATCGTGAGCGCGCATGGGGGCGCTATTAGGAAATCCTATACACTACTGTTTATGCTCTAAAAACATTCTAAATGACTTCGTTTCGAGTAAATTCTGGATGCTACCCACTCAGGACACTTGGATTACATTGGACGAGCAGTATGGAGGAATATTGACACGTTTTTGTGGACTTTTATGGACCTTTCTGTCTCGGGCGCCATGGACCTCCATTATTTGAATGTCAGCAGACAGCAAGAAGCCTCCCAGATCTCCAGATGCATTTGAGATATCAAAAAAGTACTCCAGAGTGTTGTTCAGCATGGAGGTGAGTAGAAAATGAAGGCTAATCATGTTTTGGGTGTACTATTCCTTTAAATATACCATATTATTGTAAAATGTACAATTACATTATCAAATGTCCCATCAAATGATGAAAAATATGTTTAACATATCTTTAAATATCATTGGAAAGTACATTTATTTAAATACTCATATATTTACTTTATTTTATAAGTTCCAATAGATATATCATGGAGTAGTTATATGTAGTTTAAGATGTTTGCCTGTTTGGTTGTTATTTTTGAGTCACAGGCCTAATCGTTTGCAAACCCCTGGTTTAGATCAAAGCATTTTTTAAGTTCTCTGATAGACTAAATGTGGCAGAGAAGCTGTGGTAAGAATTCAATCTGACTAATGTTGTAATTTTGAGCTTAAATCTAGACTGCAAACAAAGTTTAATCTTAGACAAATGGAAGATAGGATGGCTTTACATGTTTCGAGGAAGATAAAGTCTGACATGAGGGCTGTGTCCAAACACCCAGCCTAACCCCTAAATCCCTCAATCACTTTATAAAGTGGGGACTATATAGTGGACTTTATAGTGAACTCATCAGTTCAACAGATGATCTCTACTTTTCGCTCCCTGTTTTTTACGTTACTCCTCCTACCCGCACAGCCAGTTAAGGTCTGGAAACATTTTAAATTATAATTTGTTACTTTAAAGATAATTTAGGACTGAAATATCTATTTTAAAATCTAAAGTGTTTTTTCAAGTAGAGAACAACAATTGTTCAGTTTGGTATAAAGACAATTTCCTGATTCACATATTTAATAAAACACCTGAACTGGCTGTTTGTTATTTTTCTTTTTTTATGGTTTAATGAGAGAAGTGGGCTTTAGGCTGCAAGGCGTTTAACCTGGGTTTGAATGGTGACAAAGCCATTCTCAAGCACATATCAAGGTGCACATTCATGAACCAGGATTGATATGTGTTCTGAAAATGGTGAAGAATCCTAACTTGACAACAGCCAGATGCACTAGCTCCACTCACATATGTGAGTGGAGCTAGGCGGAGCTAGACATGCATCTGGCTGTTGTCAGGTTAGAAAAATCCTGCTTCACAGAACAGAATTGACAAAGACTCCTGGATAGGTGTTGAAAATGTATTAAAAATAATTGATTGAAAGTCTGGTTGTCTTCTAATTCATTCTGAAAAAGTCGCATGGAAAAAAAATAATTAGAAGAATTTTATTTATACAATTACTTTAGTCTGAATTTAGGCTGAATTTTGTTTGATATGCATGAAGGAGTAAAGAACAGTTTGATGAGACGGTATGCTTGAGATCCAGTGGACTGTATTAGCTGATACTAGTGCTTCACTGAGGCAGCTGGAAGATGGAAGACCTGCTTGCATAACACAGGTTGAGAACCTGTCCATAATGAGCAAGCATGAAGCGACAGTGGAGAGGAAAAACTCCCCATTGGGAAGAAACCTCTGGCAGAACCATGCTCAACATGGAGGTCTTTTGCCGGACCGGTTGAAATGAGACAGGGAACGCAGTAAGAGTCAGGGAAGAATGAAACTCTGATTAAGCTTTGGCTACAATGGTGGAGGAAGGACTGGAGGTGGGTTAAATCGGGCCATTCTGAATTGAAGTCAGACATAGAGCAACCACTGCCTGCACTTTGGGTAGCAGGCAGAATTGTGGATTGGAGACCTTTTAATATGAACTCTGGATGCTGATGGGGCTTCCGTGGGGGTGTGGTTCAAAGCTGATTAGCTTGTGTCGGACGCAGAAGAAGGCAAGTAATCAGTTTATTCAGTTCAACTTCCACCTAGGCACGATTTGTGTTTCAGAACAGAACCAAAACTTAACTGTTAAGGTATCAGTTTATAGCAGTGTTGTGGCACAGCCTGTCCCCCTTACATCACATCTTGAACTGTGCCCCCATGGCACCTTTAAAATCCACTAGAAAAAAACATATTTCTTCCCCTCCTGCCCCGAGTCCTCAGTCTGGATGCAACACAAAGACCCAAAGTTCCAACTGGACTTCATGTTGAACATGGTGCAATCTCTGCAACTGTAGTCCATTTTTGCATGTGAAAATGACTGCATCCATCTTCGAACAAGCTCTGAGCTGAAAACTTAGCATAACCTTGCTGCTACTGCTCATTCTGATACAACAAATAGCACCCGGTTCCTCTCCTGGCCAGACGCCCTGCGTCCTGATCCTTAAATCATGTCGTCTATATGAGAATGACATACACGTGTAAATTTATTTCCCATCACAGAAACCCATGACTTTGAGAAAGCAAGCGATAACAAAATAAATAAATAAAATGGTTTTTTTTTTCTTAATTTTTCTCATAAAATTGGTCCATAATTTTTCCACTTATGGATGCGAGAAAATTTTTTATTTTTTTAATATATATATATTTTTCATTTGAAAAAACCCCAAAATATTTATGTATTTTTAATACATCAACGTCCTCACATATCTGCGTTCTTTATTCGATTATTTGATTCAAATGAAATTAATGTCTGACCATTTGCTAAAAAAAACTGATTTCATCGTAGCATTCATTAAGTGCATTGCATTTTTTTTTTTTTATATCTCACTGATACTTTATTTCTGGATTGCTTTGTTTAACATCAATTACAAATTTAGACACTTTCCAACATCAGATGTCACATTTATTTGGGAGCTTTTATTAAGTTGAAAGACAGTTGATAAAATGTGATACTTCAGACCAGCTGACAGAGAGATTCACATTTTAGATTGTGTAGAAAACAGTAAGAGTAATAATTGAATTCTTCAACTCTTAGCCAGGATTTTGGGATATTTTTTAAAGTAAATCCATGCCAAAGCTTTTACACCCCTAAAACATTTCACATTTTAAATTACACTCACAAACCTTAACTGTAGTGTTGAATTATAGGACCAGAATGTTCACATTTTGGACAAAGCAAACAGGTGATTTGAAAGGGGTGCAAAGGAACCCATTTCTGTTAAGAAAAACAACTTTAAACAGAGGGAGTGCTGTTTATGTTAATCCGCACAGCTGATCCTTCTATATGACAATTTATATTAAAAAAGGAAGCAACGTTTAGCTGTTTCAGTCGTTATTCCAGATCACATCAGAGGCTTCCTCAGCCCATCGTCCTCTCTGGTTTCCACCAAGCTCAGGTGGAGCGAGCTCTCCTTGCTCGCTGCCGCTGATTCTCTCTGCGGCGATTGATGGCTTTGGTGCTGGCACGGAGCTTACGCATCCTGAGAGCACGAAGCCGCAGCTGGAGGTCCTTTGGGATCTTCTCTCCTTTGGCTCGGATCTCCTTTAGCCTCTGTATGGGTGTTTTGGTGAGGGTGAAGTCACAGATGGTCGGATGAGGCTGCTGTCCAACGCGGCAGCGACGCACAGATGGGAAGTAACCCTCAGCCCAAACGATAACCTTATATTCGCCTGGGTTCAGCAGACGCCAGTAGTCCCCATCTGCAGCTATAAGAAATTAGATAAAAACAAAGGTTAAATGGAAAATCTAGTACTTTTGTTATCTGAAACATGTCTTTGCTCTTTAGGATGAGTTAGACTTATTTTAATTTGTTTTCAATAGGCTACTGTGTAAAAATAAATTAAAAAACAGGCTCTTAAAAAGTCCTTGTAATCGTAATAAAAACCTATTTAAAGTTAAACTGTATAAAGCCTATTATTTGAAGTATGAAACAAAAATTTTTGTTAGAAAAAAAAGATGGACTTCTCTTCAGTGTCAGGAATCCAGTTTGTGTTGTCTGTTTTTGTGTTTCCTTTCCTCCTCCACCAGGTGGTGCCCCGTCCTCATTGGTTCTCCCTGCACACCTGCAGCTCATTGCCTCATTACCTGTGGAGTGTTCTTAAGCTGCTGACTGCCACTACCTCGACGCCAGAGTGTTTGCCCATACATAGTACTCTAGCTATGCTTAGTTTAGTAGAGTCTAACCTAAGTCTTTGTTTTGCCAATACTGTGCACTCTAGCCATGCTTAGTTTAGCAGAGTCTAACCTGAGTTTGGGTTTGCCAGTTTTGGATTCTCTAGCCAAGCTGAGTTTTTTCTGAGTCAAACTGAGTTTTTGTCAAGCTGAGCCTTAACTTTGTTTTTGTCCTTTCCTCTTGGCAGGAAGTCATCCTGCAAACTGGACTTGTTCGGTCCTTCTCTCTCTGGAAGGTTCTACTGAGCTTCTAACTGAGCTGGGGTTCCAAACAGGAGGTTTGGATCCACTTACCCCAAGAAATCATTTGAGCTTCACACCAAGCAAAGGTTTCTTCAGGACTACAGCCCGCTCAAGTACTGCAGGAAATCTGAGTGGCAGTAAGCTTCTCCATTCACCAAGAAACAACCGCAGTCTGAGTAACCCAGTCCACCCATCACCAAGCAAAACTCTCTCTGGTACAATCCTCTGTCTGGATTCCATAAAGGACACATATCCTTGGAGAAGTGGGTCTTCAACCTTTTCCTCTAATTCTAAGATTCAAATTTCCCACTGAGCCTGAACTAACCGCATTGTCTTCCCCTCACCTTTCAGCAACACTGGACTTACTCCCTAGTGCTAAGAGCAGCACAGGATGCATCACCATACTCATAACAAACCTGTTAAACTTTAACTCTGTGTCTCTCTGTTTGGCTTTCTGCATCTTGGGGTCAGACTTTAGAGAAAATCATGATATTCAGTTTCTTCTGTTTTTAATATAAATTAAAATTCACCATATGTACATATGATTAAATTCTAATTAATGGTTAAGATGCTATAATGCTGGATTTTAAAGGTACATAGCCTATATCTATACCAAAAAGATTTAGAGCCTAAATAGAAGCCCAGCATCGGGTGCCATGGACCGACATAAAGAGACGTGGTGCCATCTACAGGCCTGCCAGATGGTGGCCATTGATGCCACTGCTAAATAAGCTCCACTGTGCTGTAATGCCTCCTGGAAATCAGACAACTGAGAGGATATTGCTTAAAGCAACCCTTGGTGAAAACGCTGACTGTGTCTTCGTGACAGAACCTGTAAAACGTTACAAGATGTTTTCCCAGACATCAAGTTAATTTTTATTGACCAGATTAAAAATTTAAAATCAAATACTTCAGAAACGAAATAACCAGTTATTCTCTTTTATCTGCCATAATCATTTTTTACATTTTTCTTAGAAATTCTTCTATGTCTTTAACAGCAGCTGATGCAGACAGGGCCATGCAGAAGAAAGAGCACCACAGTCAGAAGCTGCAATACCAGGTATCTAAACAGCACCAGAACAAGAAACATTACACATACCTCTTAAATATCTGAACATTTTGTCACACTTTTAACCATCACATTATGCATTGTCTTGATTTAGCTCCAAAATTTACAATGAAATGTTTGTGTTTTAAAAAAAGGAAGCTGCCTTATGTTGTTCTGCAGCTCTCCTGGTAAACAGCTTTTGACTTTGGGGGCAGTTGTCTGTGTAGAAATAGTAAGAATTCCAACCCATCTACTCCTGTACATTGTAACTGTTATCTGGATCAAGATCCATAATCTGACAAGTAATAGCAAAGTGAACATTTAAAGACTTCAAGGTGAAGCGTTTGATCCTAAGTACACTGTACGGTGTTGGTTGTGTCATGCTGTGGAGATTATATGAAGAGAAAACTCCTGTTTGAATGTTAGAGCTTATAATAAATATGCACAATTGATAAAGGAGGTCCCAGATATATTTTGAGTCGCTATACACACTAAAAGCATTAAATAAATCCTGAGGTGAATTGATAAATAAAAGATAGAATACATTAAAAATTTATTTATTTAAGGTTTATGTTGTTTTATGTGAGGGAATATTTTTTTGTAACAGGATATATTTTATTTTGAATGAAATAGATTTGCATGGATGTCTTCAAGGTGGCATAATTCCAGTTAAAGAATCACCAACAAAACAAGAAGAGAAATTCAATTGGTATTTCATTCATTAAAGTTAAATTGGTTTCGATTAAAAGGAAAGTTAAGCCGTCGGCTGGAGTACGACTTACCTGATCTGATGTCGTGGTCATGGTCCTCCACCTTAATGACGGCATTTGCTATTCCTTGTTTGCTGATCTTATCTCTGATGACACCTTTGATTCCTCTGTGAACCTGAATGAGGAGAAAACCTTGTATTATGGACCTTATTTTTTGGAACATGAGGCTAATTCAGTCCTTTGTAGGGTTGTTTTTTTAAGCAAAGAAATGTTAATAAATCTGGCTGAACATTTTTAACAAACACATAGGTCAGCTTTAAAGCGCATATTATCCATTATATTTGAATTATAGTTATCATATTGTAACCACACAAAAAGCAGCTCTGCTGGGTATCTTGAAATAATACCATGAAATAATACAAATGTGTCTTGGCAACAACTGTTGATTTGTTGGAAAGTCGGAGAACATCAAAGCAACATCAGAGAGCTCACTTTTTTTTCTGATCAGATAATTTAAAATTGGATAGATGTTGATGTTTCAACAGAACAAATTTTGGACTTGTGGAGTGAATTTTGTACTATTATTTTTACAAGAAAAAAAAAAAAAGATATTCGAAAGAAATGCGATCCTAAAAAAATATTTGAAAGACGTCTGAGTTTAAAAAAAGCTTTGGAAAGCGGGTTTGCTGTTTTTTCATATTATATTTTTTTATTTTCTGTGTTCAAATTTTATTTGTACATATTTCTCTTTGTCAGACCGAGTTTAATGAATTGTATTCCTTTCCCATTGTGTTCTGCCTTCTGGCGGCAGGTTTCCCTCTAGAGTGAGGAGCAAAGATTTCTGCATTTCTACATCTGCATGGACGCTAGCAACAACATTTTTATTGGTCAATGTGGCTGTTGCTATCGGGCTTAAAGTAAACATATTGTGATCTGTAAAACACAGTTTGAAAAGGATGAAATTCTTAAAGGAGAAGTAAAAAATAAATAAATTAAAAATGAAAAAGTCAGATTTCTGCAAACTAAAGTTTGAAAAAATAAGACACAAGAACTTAATTAAAAAATATATTAATTTGAACAAATAAAATCTAAGAAAAAAAGCCAAGTTACCCTTAAAGCCTTTTCTGATTGTGACTTTTTTCAAAGATTTAACTTTGGATTGTATTTAATTTCAAATTTCTATTTACAAAACCTTTTCTTTGTATGCAACAACAATGGAACAAACTTCACTCTATATGGACTATCCTTACAATTTAATTTGACTCATTAAGCGAATAAACTCTGATAATCCTTGGTAGGTTTGGGGGTCTGAACAGTCTGTTTAAAGTCATGCATCAGCGGTTGATTAGACCACAGTTTTATTAACCAAGATGTAATGACTTTCACCTCACTAATTAAGCAATGATGGTTCTTCATGGCTCCACCACATAAACATGTCCTGGTGAAACCATGTTTGACTGACAATACATTGCCTTGTTGTTTTTTCGTTTTTTGCTGGACCTTTCCTATGCTTGCCTGTTTTGCCTGCCGTCTTTCTTAATCTAGAATGATAAACACTGTCTGACTGGTTGGATAGCTTTTTCCTTCCTATTTAAAAGCAGAATATCCTTTATGAGCTAGTAAGACTGACCTGCTCCATGTAAACCAGAAGAGACTCCTTGTTGTTCTCCCACTCAACTGGAAGCTCACTGACATGTGGAAACTTATCACAGGACAGCTCTACCGTCACCTCGAAACAGTTGGTGTGCAGGTAACTGAAGTCGTTCATACCTGCAGAACATAAACAAAGCAAATATACCAAATTCTGTCTAAAAGAATACAGTTTGTTTTGGCATTTTCCAAATACTACAGTTAGCTTTGATTCATCCTCCACCAACCAGACACAAGGTGACTGTATATAACATCAAAAAGATCAGATATCAGTTAAACTACTACTGAGCGGAAAGTGACTAAATTATTGCTTTGAGTGTCCAGTGACTACATGAGGGATTACATTTTCAGTTTTATTAAATTTTTTTTCTCTACCTCATTTTACTTTCAAAGTTTATTTTATTAGAAAAAAGAATTATGGCGCAAAGCATTCATTTGCATGGCTTTTTACTGATCATGACAATACAGATAACTGAAAGCAGGATTAATCTGAGAAAGCCATAGATCTGCAAAACAATTAATAATACCATCAATTTTCTCACGTTCTGATATGAAATCAACTGAGCCATTCCTGGTCCAGTCATTCAGGATTAACTTTTTCATTTTCATACATGTCAGAATAATGAGTATTAAAAGAATGATTATTTCTCTCTTCAAAATCAGAAGTTAAGATTACACTACAATAATATTCCTTAGAATATGGTCGCTTAATTTAAACAATTTGGCAAAGCCTTATTAGGTAATGGCACTTTAAAGAAAGCTCTATATAGGCTGAATTAAAACCATCCACTTATTGTCTATAATAGCATCATTACTTTGTTGTTTATTTCCTGCAGGCATTGAGAGAGAGGCAGAGAACCTCCTGGACAACCCCTTATATTCATCGCAGGGAAACACAGCATAGCATAGAAAACCTGCACACACCTTAAGACAATTAGAGACCAGTTAACCTAACGGTCATGCTTATGGATCGTGGGTGGAAGCCAGAGCAAATACAGAAACCAAGGCATGAAGAAACAGCTGGGATTTGAACCTAGAACCTCTTTGGAAGCAACAGAGCTAACAGTTAATTGCTCCAACATGCAGCCCTTGAGTCACATCTATAAACCTTCCTTTTGTGTTGTTATGGAATTATCAAAGAAAACCAACCAGGATGTGAGGAAGTGTGTTAAAGTTTGGGTAACCAGCCATCGTACTGCTTAGGAAATGTGATGTCCAAATCAACCCAGGAACAAAACCTTGGGAAGATGTTGGTTAAAGCTGGTGGGATAGTTTTATTTTTCTCTGTTAAACAACTCAAATAGGATTAGGGCTAAAAGGCCCCTCAGCTAGGAATGATTCATCACTACAAAATAAAAAGAAAGATTACAGCTTGCAAATGCAAAGTATTGGGGTGTTTTTTTTTTTGAGCATGTCCTATGGTCTAAAGAAGTGTAAATAGCCGCCGTGAGAACACTATCCTAACTGAAGTATGGGCATGACAGCATCAATGTTATGTTGTTTGCATGTTGTTGTTTTTTTGCAAAATATTTTGGGTTATTATTATATGGAAATATTGGGGCAACATTGCAGAATCATCTGGAAAGGTAAAAACCTTGGACACAAATGACCAAAAGTGTAGTGCCATACTATTCTGAACTTTTGATGCCAATCATGTAATTTGAAGGTAATTCGTCTATATAATAGAGGAACGTATTAACTTTTGACTTTGGTAAAAAGTCATAATGTCTAGGAATATCTCTCTCCCATGACATTTAGGACCAAAAAATATAGATTTTGTTTTAAATCAACATGTTGTTTAATCCTCCAATTTAACCACAAAAAAGTTTGTTTTAACCTGATATTTTGCAACATGTGAGAGAAACTTAATTTTCTCCTGAATGGGAAGAAGATTCTATGTTAAAGATAAAGTTATAATCTGAATAAATAAGAGCCTTTCATCAATAGCTAATGATTTTATCTCTTGCTGTTCTGCTTTGTTGGGGCTGATGTGATCCAGCGACTCACTGCCGGGGACCGTGTGCCAGGCCCCGCCGTTGATGATGTTGTTGTGCATCTGGAAGTCCTCATAGTGGCAGATGCGGCGGTCGGGGTTGGCCAGCACCAGGTTTGTCGAGGCGTAGACGGTAGCCAGCCAGCGGAAGAAGGCATCATCTGCCGTGGGGGTGTCCTCCTTGGGGGCCCAGTCACGGGTGCAGTCGTAGGGATACGTGACGACCAGTTCCCCTCCGTGGAGGTTTGCGCTCAGCACAAAGGGGATATCCTGCATCCAGCTGATGACGGCCCGTGTCTCTGGTGCAACCTGAGCAGGAGTAAATACAATTAGCAGACTTCAGGTTTTGTTAAAGATACAATGTTTCACTTCCATGAGATAAGAATAAAATGTAATATTTTTGACCTGATGGAGCCAATTATTTAATTTGAACTAAAATAAAATGGCAAAGCATTGGGGAGCTAATGCAAAAGAAGTCTTTATATCTTTAGGCCTTTGTTTTTGTTTTGTTAAAAGAAATATAAAGGCACAAATCCTTTTTTTTCCACTTAATTTTAATTGTTTCCCCCCCCCTGTTTTGTCACAAAAATAAGTTGAAAAGATTAGAATAATTCTTTGGGACTATAAAAACTTCAGCAGGACAATGGGTGACTTCAAAATAAAAAGTTGATCTTGAAATAGAAACAATCTCTCTTTCTTGTCAAAATTAGATCAGTATGAGATACTTTCACATTTTTCATTTCTTTAATTTAAAAAGATTTACAGATTAGAGCATATACAGGAAAAACCACTTGGCAGGAAAAGCGCTGAGCTTTAAAAATATTTTCTAATCTGAGCATTTTATGGCTCTAAATTGGAGCCATTGCCTTCGATAAAATCAGTCTTGCTGGTGTCCTTTCATGTTGTTTACAGCACTTATAAAATTCCTAAGCTGCAAAATTTACTCACATGATAAATCTAATATTTCCTATTGTTCTAGTAAGAACATTTCAAATTTGAAATTTTTCTGGGGTAATTCTGCCTTTCATTATTAACAGAAACACCAAAAGAAGCTGTGACTCCTTACTAAGGCGTCTTCCTGGGTGTAGTATTCTGGGATGGGTATATAGTGGTTGGAAACTTTAGATGCATCAGCAGCGATCTCCTGGGCATCCCACATGATGTTGTTGAGGTCTGGAAAGTTGTGATTCAGATCGATTCCTTCAAAGCTGTACCTCCCATCAGCCCAGCCAGACAGTTCGGAGCCCTGTGGCAGAACGTTATTCAGATAAAGGACTCATGATGTGAATTTATGTAAAAGCAAGTTTTACGTGCAGAGATAGGAAAATAACTACACAAATAGATCGAGCACAACCCAAGTAGTAAAGTCAAAGGAATTGTGTTAAGGTCTGAGGGATTATATAGGTTAAAAGCATTAATCTGAGGACAGATGTTGAGCTGAGAATCCAGCAAATCTCAGTTGTCTTCCTAGAATTAGACCGTCTTTAAATTTCCCAAACTGCGTTATCAATACCAACAACTATTGGTCAAAAAGGTAGGGACAGGATAAATGTAATGTAAGGGCTCCCTACTTGAATGTTGCTCTAAAGAACCTTATAGATAAGTCATCTTTCTCCAATAAATTAATTTAGGCATCACAAATGGAGAAATAAATGTGCTGCTGTAACCTGGAAAACACCGTTCCTGGTGGGATGCGTGTTAGTCGGGATTGTTTTTCCTGCTCACAGTGAGAATAAGATGAAAACAGAAATGAAGAAGAGACTTTCTTCAAGGAAATCTTCTCTCGCCCTTTAACTGGGTGAAGATATATTTTCTAACACAACAATGACCAAAAGCACATCCTCAGCTAACAAAAGAGTGACATCAGGTATATTTTCTTTTAGTGATCTAATAAGAGCACGAATTTAAATCCCTGCACATTTCTGGAAAGACCTAGAAATAGCTGATCTTCACACCAGACTAAGGTAGAGAGGATCTGCAGATAAAGAATGAGAGTAAGCATCAGAAAGCAGCTGCAAAGGCTTGTAAAGGCAAATCCAAAAAGACCAGTCACTGCAGAGTATCTAGTCATCTATGCATAACTTATTTGTTTAAATTTTAATATGCAGTTAATAATTATATGTATTTTATTTTTAAAATAAAATTGAGCTCATTGGTTATAGAGTATGCAGTCAATGCCACATCATATGGAAAAAGTAAAGGGGGAAGGAGGGGATACTTTCAATATGAATTCATTCTAGGATCTATCACCTTCTCATAAGCCACTTCATATCCGTCAGGGTTCATGGAAGGGAGAAGGTGGATCCGCGTCTCTGTAACCAGCTGGACGACACGCTGTGTGCCCTTTTTGTATTCTTTGCATAAATACTGCATGAGGTTTAAGACGAGCTCTCGACCCAGTGCCTCGTTTCCATGCATCCCTGCCACGTAGCGAAACTCTGGTTCACCTGCCAAGAGGAGAATTTAGAGGGTCACTTTGATCGCCAAGAAATACAGCAGGAATTAATTGTATTCGGTCAACTGAGGGGTATGAGAGGTTATTTCAGAAGACCAGAAAACAAAGAGCAGATTTCTCTTTCAGATATTTTTTTTTGAGGAATATTATTGAATTGGACCACTGTTACACTCTGATTACCTAGACATAACAGACATTCCTGAATGTTAAAAATCTAAAACCAGACATCTCTTAGAAATTACTGCTCTGCCACTGGCATTGCACATAAAGCATCAAGTGCCGGTTTTCACTCACTCCCTAAAACATTTGTATGTGCTCATGAGACTGATATATGCCCTGAACTTGGCATACCCTCCCACTTTGCGCTACACTTTTGAAGTCTTTCAAAAACTTTTCCTGGAGTTGGATGGATTTAAACTGCCCCTGGATTTAAACTGTCATCTTAAGGTAGAAAAATATGGCATCCAATGACACTAATTAGCAGTGGGTTCCAGTTATTCTTAGTGGAAGGTCATTAATATTTTTTATTTTTTACCAAATAAGGTATATGTTATTTTACAAAAAATAACAGATACCTTTATTCTAATATCTAGTAGAGATTTAATTCTTCATTGAGAATAGTTAGACAATTTAAGCTGTTAATTTTTCATTCTGTTGATTTTGTTTAATTAATATTGTAATTGCATTCTTAAAAGTCCACTACTCTGGATGACTGATTTAAATGTTGAAATTGGACTGTTTCAGTGAGTAGTTTTGTAAGATTTTTATCACATATTTAAGTAGTGACTACCAGATCTGTGTGGGATGTGGTGTATATGAAACATTTTGTATTTGTTGTTTACAACCTTATCTTTTTTCAGTACAAATTCTAATCCAGTACAACATAATGCACTTTAACTATTAATGTTATATTTGTAAATATATCATTAATAGTTAAAGTGCATTATGTTGTACTGCATTATGCACTTCAACTATTAATGATATACACTATATTGCCAAAAGTATTTGCTCACCTGCCTTGACTCACATATGAGCTTAAGTGACATCCCGTTCCTAATCCATAGGGTTCAATATGACGTCGGTCCACCCTTTGCAGCTAGAACAGCTTCAACTCTTCTGGGAAGGCTGTCCACAAGGTTTAGGAGTGTGTTTATGGGAATTTTTGACCATTCTTCCAGAAGCGCATTTGTGAGGTCGCACACTGATGTTGGACGAGAAGGCCTGGCTCTCAGTCTCCGCTCTAATTCATCCCAAAGGTGTTCTATCGGGTTGAGGTCAGGACTCTGTGCAGGCCAGTCAAGTTCATCCACACCAGACTCTGTCATCCATGTCTTTATGGACCTTGCTTTGTGCACTGGTGCACAGTCATGTTGGAAGAGGAAGGGGCCAGCTCCAAACTGTTCCCACAAAGTTGGGAGCATGGAATTGTCCAAAATGTCTTGGTATGCTGAAGCATTCAGAGTTCCTTTCACTGGAACTAAGGGGCCAAGCCCAGCTCCTGAAAAACAACCCCACACCATAATCCCCCCTCCACCAAACTTTACACTTGGCACAATGCAGTCAGACAAGTACCGTTCTCCTGGCAACCGCCAAACCCAGACCCGTCCATCAGATTGCCAGATGGAGAAGCGCGATTCGTCACTCCAGAGAACGCGTCTCCACTGCTCTAGAGTCCAGTGGTGGCGTGCTTTACACCACCGCATCCGACGCTTTGCATTGCACTTGGTGATGTATGGCTTGGATGCAGCTGCTCGACCATGGAAACCCATTCCATGAAGCTCTCTGCGCACTGTTCTTGGGCTAATCTGAAGGCCACATGAAGTTTGGAGGTCTGTAGTGATTGACTCTGCAGAAAGTTGGCGACCTCTTCGCACTATGCGCGTCAGCATCCGCTGACCCCGCTCCGTCAGTTTATGTGGCCTACCACTTCGTGGCTGAGTTGCTGTCGTTCCCAAACACTTCCATTTTCTTATAATACAGCTGACAGTTGACTGTGGAATATTTAGGAGCGAGGAAATTTCACGACTGGATTTGTTGCACAGGTGGCATCCTATCACAGTTCCACGCTGGAATTCACTGAGCTCCTGAGAGCGACCCATTCTTTCACAAATGTTTGTAAAAACAGTCTGCATGCCTAGGTGCTTGAATTTATACACCTGTGGCCATGGAAGTGATTGGAACACCTGATTCCAATAATTTGGATGGGTGAGCAAATACTTTTGGCAATATAGTGTATTTATAAAAACTTTTAGTCATTTAAATAGAGGCATATATAATCATAGTAAGTGGTTGTTTCTGTACTGACCCTTGCCCAGAAGTTGTTTTGAGCATGTTTGTGTAAGTTAAATCTTCTTGATCTTAAATATGAGTTTATTTCTGTAACGAATGTTGAAACTCTCAGTTTCAGAGGGTTGTACATTTTTTATTGCACTTTAGAAAAGTACGATTCCAGTTAGAGGGCTGCTCAGTGACGCAGTGGGTAGCACTGCTGCCTTGCAGCAAGAAGGTTCTGGGCTCAATTCCCAGCCCGGGGTCTTTCTGCATGAAGTTTGCATGTTCTCCCTGAGCATGCACGGGTTTTCTCCGGGTACTCCAGCTTCTTCCTAACCTGACAACAGCCAGATGCATGTCTCGCTCCGCCTAGCTCCACTCACACATATGTGTGAGTGGAGCTAGGCGGAGAGCTAAAAGCCTGAAGACAATTTATAAAAAAAAAAAATCAAGAACTTAGTTTACATTAGAGGGAGCCTCACTAAACTCCAGCCCGTATGGTTCTGCTGCAGGAACAAGGCTGTATAAACACTGCCGGATGTGAAAGTGGGCCTCCAAGTAGGAATTTTTCAAATCTAAGAAAAATGAGGAGACATGATGAAATTCAGCCCAGATAGTAAAAGGCTGTGAAGAACTACTTACCCTATGTAGGATTTAATTAAACCCACATGCTTCAGATTTGATTAACTACTGTTTTTAGAAAACCATGTTAGATTTCACCTACAGGACCAACTCCTGGTTTCCCAGTAGAACACAAAACCACTTGATAGAACCTTTCTAAAAGAAGAAAAGGTTTCAAAATAAAATAAATTATGCAGAGACCTAAATACATTCAGGAGTAGATGGGAATCAAAAGCTTCTGTCACAATACAACTCAAGGTAGGATCCAAAGTCCTTTTGCAATCTCCATGACTCAAACTGAATACTTTAAATCAGTGGATTCTTTAGACAGAATGAATGTCAGTCAGCATTAGCAATAAGTCCTGTCCAAACAGCACTACTACTCTGTTACCGTACTTTTGCTCACCTGACAGAAATTCACCTGACAAATGACAGTAATTCAGATGGCAGGCAACCTGGATTTTACAGAGCAGGTCGCCATGCTTTATTTACTTTGGAAAGCCCAACAAAGTGGCAGGCGACCCTGGATGAAACAGATCCTCTAGAAATGCTCCCAGTTCAGGGAGTCCAGAAACAATGGAAGAATCACAGCCGCTTCCCGCTGAGCAAGCACCTGGCAGAGAGAGCAGCAGAACTGGGACGAGGTGGCTAGTCATGACCCCCTTTGGATATAAGGGAAACAGTGGTATACTGGAACAGTCCGTTGGACAGAGCGAGGGACAGTGGTGGTTTGTTCAGACTAGCTCTGTAGGATAACAGCGAAGGATTAAAGGAGGACAGTGGTACATTGGAGAAGTCCCTCAGGCAGAGAGCACCAGAGTGGGCAGAAGCAAAATGTATATGGATAAAATAAAGTGGCTTTTTCAAAAACCATCTCCAAACCTCTTAAATTCATTCCCTACTTCATCCTTTGTCAACATAATTTTGAATCATTATTTTCCATTTTGATTGGAATAAAATCTTGCCTCTGCTGTACTCCTTCAAATCAAGCTCAGTGTGAACACACTTTATCAGTAAAAGGACATTTTTGAAAATAAATTCCCCAGTATGCTTCTATGATGGAAAGAATGATCTAATGATCATGTTTGGTTTGAATATCTGTACGGTTTAGTTAGAGAAATAAAGTGTGATGTTTTAGTCAATCAACGCCTCCTTCTGCAGTAAGCAGCCAATAAACCTGGAAGAACCTCCAAAGAGCCACAGGCCTCCCTGTGATGTCACTCATTCTAACCTGAGATGCTGTTTAAATATTCATGAGTAAGTTTTAAGCTAAAAAACACTCAAATTTTACAATTAACATCTTCATTATCCCAAAAACATCTCATAGGAGACCAAATCATAACTTTCTAGAATGAGAAAAGAACCTCAAAGCATCAACATAGTGGTGATGGTCTGGGACTATTTTGCTGCTTCAGGACCTGCATTACCAGACGCAGTTGACGCAAACTTGAGTTTTACTCTGTCTCAGAAAAGTTAACTAGACTATGGAGTCATCAATGTATACCTTATACTCAAGCACACACCCATTAGGCAACAAGTCAATTATTCAGTAACAAAAGTAAGTCTGTCTTTGAATAGCCAAAATAATATAAAAACAACTTGTTTGAAATGGCCTTGAAAAAGTCCATCAGGTAGAGATCATCTCAAATTGAATATAAACAGTTCTGCAGAAGAACATTAGGACAAAATTCCCAAGCTTATTAGTAGTTCTGACAAATATGTAAATGACAGGTATTAGTTTAGGCCTATTCGCATACTTTTGAAAGTCTTTATAAATAATTTATTTTGTGACAAAGCCATAACGTCAGTAGATCAAATACTTTTTTATTTCCTTGTATCTAAAATCAAGGTTTTGTCTCATTTTAGGATGTTTAAATGTTCATACCGAGTTCATGTTTCCCAGGGTTGTCTGATATCTCCATGACGTACAGTTTGAGGCCCATGTAGCTTTTGCCTATGGTGTAGATGTGGGTGATGTCTGGACATTCCTCAGTCACAGACTTCATGAGCTGCAGACAAACTGGGGTTAAATCTGGGGTCTGAGTCAATCCGTAAAATGTTATTAGTCTGAGTAGAGCTTCCACATTAACTTAATGGAACTTACTCATCGTCTGGTTTTACCTTTCTCATTTCTTTGTAGTCATGGTGTCTAAAGTCCAGGTTATCCCTGGATCCTCTTTCTTGCTGGTATGGATCCATTGGATCTACGCAGGAACAACAGAGAAGGTTTCAGCATCATGCTTTGTTTTGCACACTCGCACTCACAATAGATACAATCTGGGTTCTGTTATGAAACTAAAGTCTGGAAATGACTCACAAACTGTGAGACAGTCTGTGGCTCTGCACCGGTAATCATATGCATACCATGGACGCGGCAGCCAAGTATCTCAGCCCTGAGACAGATGGTCCCATTGAAGTACCAGGTTTGAGGATTGATGCGGATGAAACGGGCGACAGTGGGAACCGGAAGGAGCCCAAGAACCGGAGTCTCTGGATCCTGGTTACCTTTGAATATCTGTACAGTTAAGTAAACAATCATACACCTTGCAAAGGAACCAATACCCTTTAAACCCGTTAAATGTAATCTATCTTGCTTTGGTAGGATTAAATAGGAAGATTTTTAAAGGACTTAAAAAGGTAAACAATAACCTCCTAAGGCTAATTTCAAAACTTGTTGATTCCAACACAGCAATGGGCAATTCTAGTTCCTGAGGGCCAATACCTTGCAACTTTCTGATCTTTCCTTGGTCCAACACACCTGAATGAAGTAATTAGATGATTAAGAGAAATCTTTAGAACTTGACTGCATCCTGAGGAGGTCATTCAGCCACCTGATTTAGGTATGTTGGACCAAGGAGAAATCTAAGTCTGAATCCCAAACCGCCCCCTAAGCACTTATCCTTAACTATTAAGTGTCACTCCCAATGAAGTCTCACTTCCAGCTGTTGAAGGCGCCTTAATTGAAGGTGGCGGGGTATAAACGAGAATGGGACAGCTTCTTCCCTCTAACGGAAAAGGAAAGCAGTCGTTGCTATGGCAACACAGTGACGCCCCATGTGCGTGGTTGTAGCTCGGTGGCACAGAGTGACATAAAATATAATAGTTGCCCATTTCTTAAAACAAATATATGTGGTCAATAATGGGAAATAATTAAGTTTTTTTTCATATGCCAAACTGATGGTTTTCTGTTAACATGATGAAGATAGAGCAAACCAGCTAAACTTACATTCGAAGGAATGGGTTTTTTACGCCATTAGGTTGCTGTCACGCCCGCTGCCAAAGTCCAGCGAGCCTGCATGGATGCAGACTCGCTATATAAGGGCTGAATGGTCTGCTCTCCCTACCCACTACGTGGTTTGGGATGGCCCTTAATGTGGCTGACCCTCCGTGGGAACATGCAAACAGAAGGTTGGTGTTTAGGGGCCGGTTTGGGTTTGGGCCTTAAAGTTGCAGTATGCAGTCTCTCAGGAAATGGAATTGTCCATCCCTGTTATAACATATTTCTACAATTTATGTTCTAAGGAGAAGTTTAATTTAGGGCATTTTTGTATTGTCCATGTTTCTTTGACCTTTGTCAGCCATTTTCACATGCTTGTCTTTTAGGCTGTGGTTCTGCTTGCAGGGAGTTAGTTAGGTTTTGCTCTGTTAGCCACTGGAGCTTTGATTATGACAATAAGAAATTCCTTTGTTGAATAAAACAAAGATGCATTTTTGCTTTAAATCTAATCAGCCTGTTTGGTTAAAATATAGTTGGGATAGTCAGTAACTGTAACAGTAACTGTTGCAATGTAAGTAAAAAATCTGAAGTGTTTAAGGAACATAAACAGTTGAGGTACACCAGCCAGTCTTGGTGGGTATAACACCAGAGAAACATCAAGCACCTTTTGGGTCTGGAATCACAAAAAAGTTCACAGAAATGTAATCCCGCTGCAAGAGAAAGAACATCTAGAAGAGAACAGCTATTTTTAAACTTTCTTCACATGTCTTAAAGTCTAAACATCACCCCCTCTGCATCAAAAGCTGTCTGGGAATAAAATAAAAACAATGGAATTCTTTTTTCCTAATTTTTCCCTGGAAAGAAATCTAAGCTTCCCAAATATGGATACAGAATGTGTGGGGGTGGGGGATTGAGAGGTTCAAACAAACCTTGGATGTGTTTTGACTTACTGTGCAGGCTTCAGCATTGATCATATTATTCCTTAAATCAAATAATATAAAATGTTGCTCTCACCGCCTCTTCTGTTCCATTCATGCAGGTCTGCCAGTCCACAGAGTCATTACTCAGCTGAACTTTGTAGGATTCAACCCAGTCCCAACTAAAACACCAACCAAACACATTAAATCGATTATCCAACAAAAAGGTGATTACCAGAACAAAAAAAAGCTCTATTAAACTGACTGAATTTCATAAATATATTTCTTGTGTGATCAGTCATAGAAGACTGTGATACTACCTGACCTCCAGATAGAGTTTCTGCCCTGCAGGATGACTCCAGTAAACAGGGTCAGATGAATGGCATCCACTTCAATCCACTGATGCTTGTCCTTAAACTCAGCACACCAGGCTCCATCGTACTGATCTCCATCTGAAATGCCTGACTAAAAAAACAAAACAGTTTTACTTCCTTGTTTTCAGTCAACTGCAAAACCTAACAGAGAAGCTACTGGTCTAGTGTTGGTGTGGAGCATTATATGGGAGTTTGGTATTGCATAAGTTGACCTACTTGTGACATAATTACTTTCAGATGGCAGACTTAGAGCTGCAGAACAAGGAAAATATGGTGTCATGGGACAATAAATTCAAGCTATCCATTAAATCTAATTTCTGGCAGACATCTTGCAAAGATGAACTGTTTAAAAGTTAAGAGCTTATTATGAGGGTGCGCTGATTTGCAAAAACACTCACACTCATTAACCCATGACTCTCTGTCTCATTATAACTACAAACTTTGATATATTTGGGTGGGATTTTTATGAGAGACCCTAAATAAGTAGCACATTATTATAAAGTGATGAACATGGGTACATGGTTGTCAGAAAAAATAATCTGAAAAGTTTCATGTGGTATTTGGCAAACCACTGACATTCTGGAAGAAGAAAGCATCCAGCAGAAAATTAGCCAACGCTCCATGGTAACTCTGGAGAGGCTGTAGAAATCCACATCTTTAAAGGAAAACAGGAAATTGAGATGAAATCCTCAAACCTGACTTAAATGTTATGGTGATGGTTTTATTTATAGTTTATCATCCTCTACAGCAAACATGTAGAAGAAGGATGTGCTCTGGTCAGATAAGACAAATAAAGGACCCTTCTGACCTTCAGAGGGTTTGCATATTTTAAAACAGGTGCAAATGTGTTGTTATGCACAGAGCAGCTCTTCAAAGAAGGGATTTTCTTTTCTCCTCAATACATAAATGTAAACAAAGCATGGTTAAATTTTTTTTTTGTTTAGATTTTGTTTACAGCACTTTGAGATATACTATCAATATTAGTCACTATTATCCGTATTGTTCTTGAAAATAATAAATAATTATCAGCCCCATCTTCATGGCTTTGAACACACAATCTCCTAATTTTAATGGGCGGAACCTAATTGGTTTGCAGGTCTTCACATGGGAGCAGCAATCGTAACACGGCCACCAAATACAGGTACTAAAAGATCATTGCACATGCTTTTTATCGGCCTTTATTCTGAATCATTGAAGATCAGACCTGATGTGTTGGGGAAAGCATGGTGGTAGCAGCATTTTGCTATGGAGAACTTCTTAAAGTGGGGGCTTGTAAACTGATTCGACTGTATGGGACAATGGATGGACTATTAGGGTATGATCTTAAAAGATTTTACATAAGAGGGGCCAAAATGTGTGTGGTTTTTTGGTTGTTTTTTTTAGTACATGCAATAAGTGGGTGTGTTGTGAGGGATCTACAACAATTGCTTCACAAATGTTATGACATGCAAACCGCAAAAGACAGAATAGGTTCAAAACCATGGAGATAGTATTAATAAATTAAGATAAAATAATAAAAATACTAGATAATATGTATAGTGAACCTTGCAACCTATTTCAAAGTGCTACGAACAAAGAAAATATAGCATCACTGTGCTTTGTGTTGGGTTATGATTAATTGAATTTAGAGGTAGAAACAAAATCCCTGTTGCAAAGAGATGTGCAATTGCACCCCTCACCCCCACCCCACTTTCCCCTGTATGTCTTTTATGATATTCTTTAAAAAAACAAAAAAGAAAAACAATATTTAAGTTCAGTCATTTGTTCCAATTTGGTTTATTGTGCAAAGATTATCTGCCATCCTGCTCCTATAATCCAGGCTGGCATGTCTAGATTATTGTTTTCTTTACTATCATTTTACTTTTGTTATTTCTGATGGTCTAAATATGTTTACATGCACACAGAATCTCTAGCATTTGTCATTGTACAAATGCCTACTATGAGGCAACAATGACAGTAGATATTTTTGCATGTTAGTTTGCAACTGACTTTCAGACTTACTACAAACGATTCAAAAACTACAATCGCAGTTGAGTTTTCAATTTAGGAAATCATTTTCATGTGGTAAATGTCCACATTTAGATATCTTCACCCATGAACTTGTGTGGTTTTAGCATTAGAATTTGATCTGCATATTGATGGAGGCACACATGCAAGAAAAGGTCTGCAAATTCTGTCTGCTGAATTGCAAATATTACTTTCTTTGAAAATCTGCTCTGTGCATAGAAACACATTTACTTCTCTTTTAAGACGTGCAAACCTTCTAAGGATCAGGCTACTAAAAGCTGAAAAAGATTTTAGATTGAGATTAAATATATAATCAGTGATTCAGTGGGATACTTTAGATCATGTTTAAGAATGGCCCAGTTAAAGTAAAGGTGAAAATCAAATCTAGATTCTGTGGTTTGGAAGATGTTAAAGCTGATGATCAGAGATGCTCTTCATCCTATCTGACTTAGTTTAAGCTGTTTTACGAGAGGATTGGGGAGCAGAGTTAGACTCTAGTCTGTAGTTATGCAAAGTTGGAAGGGAAATTCTCCCAATTAATTACAGCCAAACGTGGATTTACAGAAATTTGTGTTTTTGCTGAATCTGAATAAACACACTATTGTTCAATTCATCATCTTTTATCCTGTTGCTTTTGCCTTTATAGTTGACTGCTTATGGTTTGTCATTCACATAAATCTCAGTTCAATTCATTAAGGTTTGTTTGTAACAAAAATAAAAAAATGATCAGGGGCTATAAATATGTTTCAATGACTTTGCATACATATTGAAATAAATGTTTATGTGTGTGAAATAGATAACTGCTCTCAGATCTTGGCGTGTGAGTTCTTAGCGTTTGAAGTAAGCTCTGATAAAGACTGACCTGGATGTTCAGCCTCCCTCTGTGAGGACCCAGACCTGTTCGCTGGGAGGAGGAGGCCCGGATCTGGCTGTCGTCAACTCTCAATGACTCCAGGCCGAGGGGAGGGCAGTCTGGAGGTAAAACAAGATATGAAAGCATAAATGTTGCTATGTTTTCACAATCAGATCCTGTGCAGGAGCAGCCAGAAACTGCTTCAAATTAAAGGTTAAAAGATCACTCCTTTGGTTTCTCAAAAAATGCAAACACAGGATGCATGACGTCTGAGTGGTTGTTATGTCAAACGCCGCTGATTGTTCAGGGTCGGTTCAGTGGAGCTTTAGAGGCCCTCGCCTCCTCCAAAGATTGGGTTGGAATGGAGGAGGATGCAGATAAAATGAAATCCCAGAGGGTTTCAATGTAATATGAGACACATTGAGGACTACAGTGAAAATGTTTTGCAGAGCAACTGGAAAAGGAGCTCCAGCTGCAGAGCAGTTCAATGATTCAGAACAATCAGCAGTGTTTCACTAAATCACCTATACATTCTGTGAATGAGTTTTTAATCTGAAATGAGCATTAAATGAATTTATCGTTTGAGAATATGGAAAAATCTCCGTATATAATCAATATCTTAGAACCCTCTGAGAAGCATGGGGTAGGTGCAGCATGCTTAGGGCATGTAAGACCATTTTTTCAATGTATTAGGATGATTTACATGTAAAATAATTATTTTAATTATTCTATATGTAAATCATCCTATACCATTGGAAATTGTCCTACATGCCCTTGGCATGTACTAATGATTATCTCTATTTCTACTGCATAATATCTAATCATCTTATTTTACGGGTAAAGTACTCTATTAAACCTGTTAAAATTAAGGGCAAACACACTTATTTTTATTATTTTTACTCCAGTTGTGTAGTGTTTTTTTTCTTCTTCAGAAGGAACAGAAAAGCTGATCATACTTAAAATAAAGATGAATAAGACCGGAGTTGCAGGTTCACCCTCCAGCAATTATCCCAAACATATAGCCAAAGCTAGAACAGAAAGCTTTTAGGTCAGGAAAGTTCATGCATTAAAGGTAACATCTAAACCATGTTAAAATATTTGGAAATATATGTCCTCCATCCTGCTTGACTCAGCTTCAGGTTGTTTTTTGTATCTAGATGTTGAAGATCAAACCCCATGAGATGGGGAGCTGGAAGGGAAAGTTAGAGTACAGACTTGTGGGTGAAAAACAAATATTCTCCATACTTTTATCTATAATAACATTGAAAACTATAAATAGTTTTCCTTCCACTTTATGATTATACATCACTTTGTGGTCATGAAAAGACAAAATATGAAAAAAAACAATGGATACTTTTGCAAGGTAATGTGTGCAAAATGCAATGTTATGCCTCATAGTTGAAATACTCCCTTGATGAAAGTTATAGACTTATCTTGTCTTTCAAAGCAGGAGATCTTGCACAATCAGTGGCTGAATAAATACTAACTTGCCCACTGTCACTGAGGCTTGCATGTTGGGAATTCACTGTGAGTTTGTTCCAACAAATAGGCTAATATGGAAATAATGGATAATATGTCTTCTGGAAATGACTATGGATGAAAATAAATTAAACTATTTCACAATTAACTAACCACAAAAGAAGTGATCTGAATGCATCATTAATGGACTGAAACTGAAGATTTTAGTCTCTTTTTTCTGCCTTACCCAAGTTTATTTTCTTATCTTTTATTTTGTGATCTTCTTTGTCTTTTAACTCCTCTTCTTTTATTCCCTTGTTGCCTTCATTGACATTTGTGGAGTTGGGCTGCTCCTCTGTTACGGTCTTGCTGTGCCGTCTTGTTTCTGCTGTTGGAGTCACTCTGTCTCTGCTCTGCTCCTCCACAATCACAGCCTGCGTCCACTTTACTGAAGAAGGGGTCGTATAGTTGGATAAAAAAGAAAAACTCTGTGTAGTTGTTTCAGCTCCACATATAAAACGCCCAAGAAAGAGCACCAAAGCCACTACGCACAATGACTTTTCCATTTTGCTTGTGTTTTTTTTTTTTTCGTGCAGAGGGAAGGAAAAAAAATCCCTGGTATTTAATATCCTGATGGACCCAGACCTCCAACCACCCACACCCCTCCTCCTGAGTCCCTCCTCCTTTTCTTTGCCTCCTCTCCTTTCTTCCCTTCCAGATAAAAATTGCAGCTCAGTTCCTACAAAAAAAACTCAAACTCTGAAATGACTTATTAGTGTATTTGCACAAAAAATGTTGTAATAACCTGTGATTCATGATCCAGGGACGCTGTCTTCACTTTACATGCATAACTTTTCAAAATGTAGTTAAACTTAAAGTGCATTGAAAAGCAACAACTAATATAACAAAATGTATATAGAACAGAGAGCAAGTGCAATAAGTGTCTAAACAGGGTTGGAAAGTTATGTTCCAAAAAAAAGGAATCTCTTTTTTTTATAGCTTGATTAAGAATTAAACTAAATTTATATTTGTGTTTACTGATTAGGCTGAATAAATGTTATTAACTATATTTACTTATATTTAAGAAAACAGATAACAGACAAAAGGTTTTGTGCGAGACCAAAGCCCTGTGAAACTAATATTGGTTTCTGACAGGAATCATGCAATTATGAAAGTAATCATGTAATATCATAACAGATGATCATGATTGATATCTTAAACTTTGAAAAACATGTTTGTCTGTTTATTTTATTTTTTATTTTTTTGGTTGGCATGATTACTCTCTGAATACTGAACAAGAAGAAGCTGCAGCTACCAGAATATAGAATGGCCACCCTGAAATAATTATTCTACTTGCTCTGAAGTAACTGAAGCTGCTGGATTTTAAACAATAGTTTGACAAAATATTAAGATGACATAACACTTTTCAAAGTTTAAACTTCTGAGCATGAAGATTTGTAGCCAGTAATGTTTCTGTGTTTGGCCACTGCAGCTCTGAATTCAGGAGCAGTACGATTGCAGAGAGAAAGCAAACAGGAATACAGAAACTACTGAGTGGAGATACTCAACAAAACTGCTCACCCATTATATTGAATCCTATTAAAATGTTGAAAAACATTATAACAGCAGTTTTGAAGAAGTGAGTTGCTATAATGCAAGTGATTCATAATTTAGGGTAGGTCATTAAAGGTCTAATCAGAAAATCCTGTTTTTATCAACTTTACTTTGCTTGTTTTTTGTCACCTAAAGGCTAAATGACCATCAGAGTGTTATTAATAATGGCGTAACAATAAACTACATCATATAAATAATTAATGGTCCAATGATATCCATACAATGAATCAGTGAAATTCACAATAAATGATAATAAAAATTTGTATATTCATGCAAGTATATATAATATTTAAGTCAAAAAGTATTTATTCAAGAATTAATATTTGTGCTCAAAACAAACTAAGAACATAAAAACTTATACTTCTCTTTTATATAATAAAATCAATGTCATTTTTCTTTGAAAGTCATTAATTTTTTTAAAACAAGTGATTTATAACGTAAATTTTGGGCTACAATACAAAGACCAAATTGGTTGTACTTGCTAATTTAATTTACAACACTGGAAAAATGAGTAATTCATGCAAAAATTGTTGTTGTTTTTTTTTTAAATCTTGATACTTCCCAATTGTATGTACTATGTAATAAGATTGCAACATTTCGTTTTGCCTAATATGTCTGACAAAGGTAAGTTCACTTTACTTGGATTTTTTTTTCAGTAAAACAAATAAATAAATATCTTAAACAAAAAAAAACCTTGCTAATTAATATAGATAAATTATTTAACTAATGCCTTTATTTTTTTATGTAGATGGAGCAGAATATTGTTATCATTTAACACTATGTTCATCTTTCTCAAACACATTAGCTCCCTCTGGTGGGAACCCTAGGTATTCTTAGTAAAAACTAAAATTTTTATATTCTAGATGTGGGTTTTTTTTAAACTAACAAAAAAAGTGTTTTTAAATGTGTTAGTCTGATTTGTAAAGATACAACATCATCATATTTACTTTTATTATAACCTAATTCATTTATTCTTTCTTTACTAAGACCTCTCAGTTCATCTGCTGTCAGCAGGCATGTGACGTTCCTCATTTCTTTGGATAACAATTATACATATTTTATGTATATATTTTAAACATAAAATATGTGTAGCTATTGAAGTAAAACATAACAAATAGCATTTAAACTCAGCTGTGTCTATTGCTAAATATTTTTGTAGCAAAAAGGCATATTTTGCAGTATTTTATTGTATTGAATTATGGAAGATCCTACACAGGCTTAATGTGGCACTCAGAGAAGTAGTTTAAGAACCACTGCACTATATGTTTACATATACATATTTTTTAACTTGTTTTGCCATTGACAATCCATTTTAAATGCATAATACAGATTTTTTTTCTAGATTTTAAAATGTTTAATTATTTAGAAATACTAATTTACTATAAATATCTCTCCTTAGGTCGACGGCTGCAGCTTTAGTTTAATCATGTTTTTGTTAATTGATATAAATGTTAATAACTGTGTTAGATGAGCAGATCCTTTGGCATCATATTATTTGCAACCTTTGGATTTGAACTATAAAAAAACTATATTGTGAGAGACTTTGCAATGTTATTAAAAATCCTTTTGTCATCCAAACAAATCTAAATAACATCTTGATAAAGCAACAGCATTTATACCCTTACTGATTACCTTGCAATATTTTGTTGGGGTAGTTTATCTTTCTTTTCTTCCTGACTGTGCATCATGGTCGTGCAAATGTTATTTGAAGCACTAAAAGAACAATATGGTGTTTGCTTATTCTCAAGGTGGCAAGCATGCAGTAACAGCAGATTAAATAATTCAGTCAGTGTTATAAACTAATTCATGCACGGGTCCAAATCTCAGCCTCTTCAACACCGCTGCTCCCAACTAGATGGTATCTTATACATATACTGTTTCGGGTTTAATGCAAAATAGTTGCTTGGATAATTATATAATCTTAAATGCTAATCTTGTGGCGAGCATGTAGTTGAGCAGGTGCATCCATGCGTTTCAGAAGGAGAAGGAATTGATTAGAGTGAACCAATTTTCCTTTAAAGCTTCAATAACTAATAACTAGCTTCAATTCCAACATATCATTTGGGAGATTTGTTGATAGAATTCACTCATTTTTCTTCTTTTTCATCTTGTCTTTCTGATCACAGAGGTTGCTGATCTACTAATGTAGCTTTCTGCTGGTACTGTGTGGTTCAAATAAAATAATATGTTTATATTTAGATTCTGATATTTTTTTGGTTCAGTGAAATTCCAATATTCACCTTAGTTAAAGAGAAAAGACATACACCTGCCTTGTTGAGATCACAGAATACTAAATAAAAGTTTATTTCCTGATTGTTTCACAGCGGTTACATAGGTAGACATGCCTATGGTAACGCACCTCAGCTCAGCATGATGTAAAATGTTATGATGCGACACACGGGAGTTGTATAAACTCTTCTGTAACTCTAAGCAACTCCTCTTACCTGTGTAAGATAACAATTTCTATCAAAATCTGTTATCATGTCTCCTGGGTTTTTTTTTTAACATATAATTGATGAAGTGTTATTTAAAGAGTTTGTCCTGAGTGATCTCTTTTCAGGAAAAGAACTGGAGAGAGAAAGCTTCAAGGTGCAGACACAGAGCTTTCCTTTAACAGTACTTAAAAAGAAGTGTAGAAAAAGACTACTTTTAAATAAATATATTTTTGTAATGAATATTGCTTTATGTATTTATTCAAATCACAATTTTTGAATTAAATTCTTACAAAGGAAATTATTATTATTTTAACATCTTTATTGTGAGGGTGACAATTTTTAATTGTGCAATTTTGATTGTGCTAAAAAATTATCTGCTATTATTTATTAGCCCCGGTCCTCAGGGCCAATTGTTCATGTGTTCGATGTTTCTCTATTGAAGAACACTTGAAATATGCGTATTACGCCCTCAGGAACCACCACATGTTGCAAAAGCCTGTTGCATGTTCCATGCAGAGCAGGTGTGTGGAGGCGGGAAAACACCCAAAACATGAAGGACGGTGGGGTCTGAGGACCAGGGTTAAGGAATACTGATCTAGAGGAAGCCTGGTTTTCTCCTTTATCTAAATAGCAGATCCCCAAGTTGAATAACAAAGCATTTATTGGATTAGCATATAAAGGATGTCTTTGGTCTTGGAATGAATACCAAAATATTACAAATCTTCATAACATTTTTAAATTTGGTTGCATATTTTCCATTTATCTTTAATTTTCCCACCTCTGTTACTCTCCTCATATTTGAGAGATACTTCCCCCAAATATTCATTCAATGCCTCCAAAGGGTGCTTTGTGTGTGCATCGTCTTTCTCCTTGATAACTGTGTGTCTGAAAGAATGATTTTCTTCTGACTCACCCTAAAACCCAGATCTTGTTTCTACTCACAGACTGTTAAAGAGTTTCAGCTGCTGTTCTAGACAGCTCTGAATCATTTACTTTTTTTTTAAAACATACAAGAGGCTAAAAGGAAATCAGATGTGACTTTTCTTTGTGAATACATTACTGTACATAGAGAAAATACTCTACCGATACATATAGATATCTAGTACAGTCCCTTTTAACATAATGCAGCAGTTCAATGCAATGTTCTTGTAACAAGGTTTGGCCCTTGTACTTTTTCTGGAGACTGCAGAACTAATACCTTTGTTGTTTTCAATGAGCTAAAATGAGGATAAGAGTTTTTTTCTTTACATCTGGTGTTCAGGTGTTTGATGAGTGACATTTACAGAGGACACACTTCCTTTCAACAGATAAGACCATGCACCAGATCAGGAAATGCACCACTTCTTTGTATTACTCATCACCCCCTGTATGACTGCAGTGCATCTGCATTGTACATGTTAGAACTCAGTGTTTAGAGCTATTCATTTAGGAAAACCCTTCTGTTGTTCACTTTAAGAACTCATTCTGTTCATTAAGTTAGATAACAACTGTCATAAGTACATTAATAACTGAAAAAGTTTCATACAGATTAAGGATGAGTCTCTAAAAAAACACAGAGGCACTAGGTTAGACAATATGAATAGCTACAGTGACTTGTATTAAACATTTCCAAATTTTATATCCTTAAAACCACAAACTTCATGGCAGAATATAGATTTTTTATGCTAGAGCAAGACAAATAAAAAATAAAAAAAAGATACATGATTACTCTGTCTTTACAAATACAAGCTTAAAACTGTGGCCTGCATTTGAATTCAGTGTACATACTGGTACTTAAAAGTTTTTCAAGTTTTTTTTGTTTTGTTTTTTTTTGCATATTCATCTTTGCAAAACAGACAGCTACCTTTACAGCTGGACTTTGCATGGGTGTTTCCAACCTACAGTATCAATATGCTTGGGCTTAGTTGTGGCTTTGTAACTTTAGTTGTAAATTTAATGCAGTTTTTCTGCTGGAAGGTGAATCGAAACCCTAGTTAAATTATTATTATTTTTTTTTAGTTTTAATGTTTTTTTCAACTATTGTTATTATTTACAGATTTCCCCGTTAACTAGGCTCATTAATCTGAAGTAACTAAATCTATCCAAACAGTAACATTTTGGTCTAATATAACCAGTTCACTTGTAGCCTTTAGGCTTATGTCAACTTGCCAATTGTATGAGTCTAAAGTGAAAACTCAATCTAAAAGACTCTTATCAGCACCAGCAGTGTCTGTGCCACGGGGGGAAAATAATCATTTTCATAGGGCTTTCATACAAGCGAATGTCGATTCACTGCATTAAGTCTTTTGCCGGGGTCTGAGCTCCAAAGAACTTATTCATTCAGGTCAATAAAACTTTCCTAATTGCATCCTTTCTCTGCATGACTCTCTCTGCATGAATAATATTTTTATAGCCTTCTTAAACCTTGCTCTTTGTTTGAACCACTCTTCAACGAAATGTTAATTCATGGATGTTTTAACCAATAATTTTCCTGTTGAGAAAAATCCCTTCCTAACCTCTGCTGCTCTCTGCGGCTCCTTCAGGGTTAAAACAAAGCTTTTACCTGTTGTTTTTGGTTCTGGCTCTCCATAGCCCCGTCAACTTAAGGTGTATTGCAATATCTTGGTAGTTTCCCAGTTGCACAAAACTCTTTCCATTTTCTGACTGAGACATGCTCCATGGAATTTCAAAAGTTGGGGGAATTGTTCTATAATCTAACCTTGCTTCAAACTTTTCACAAAAAAAGATCTTTTACCTTACCATGTGTCTATTTGTTTTGGATTTCATTATTCTGTTTGTTCAACAATTTGCCTTCAACTTTTGTTTAAGGTAACTTACTGTTAATGCAGATTTTATTTAGTGATACGTTATTAAAGACATATGCCATACTTATCAGATTTATATTTAAAAACAAAATAATACCACATACAAAATTAAAAACACTTTGTAGTTATATGACAATATGTGTTTGTCGTGAAAACAACCACTAACATAAAAAAGTATTGAAGTTTGAGGTAGATTTTTTTTTTAAATTCAAGGGCATGAATAATTTAACAACCCATGATACACATTATGGTAATTATTTTACTTAAACTTGTATTCAATTTCTTACAATATCAGTCAAACAGACGTACAGAAGAGGATTAGAGCCACTGAAAAAAATTGAAAAAAAGTTAACTGATTTCTTAATATGGTAAGAAAGTCAGAATTCTGACTTTTTTCTCAGAATTCTGACTCTAATCTCAGAATTCTGACTTTAATCTCAGAACTCTGACTTTTGACTCAGAATCCTGACTTTAATCTCAGAATTCTGACTTTAATCTCAGAATTTCGACCTTTTTCTCAGAATTCCGACTTTTTTCCTCAGAATTCCGACTTTTTTCCTCAGAATTCTGACTTTTTTCTCAGAATTCTAACTTCTTTTCTCAGAATTCTGACTTTTTCTCAGGCTTCTGACCTTAATCTCAGAATTCTGACTTTTGTCTCAGAATCCTGACTTTAATCTCAGAATTCTGACTTTAATCTCAAATTCTGACTTTTTTCTCAGAATTCTGACTTTAATCTCAGAATTCTCACTTTTTTCTCAGAATTCTGACTTTAATCTCAGAATTCTCACTTTTTTCTCAGAATTCTGACTTTAATCTCAGAATTCCGACCTTTTTCTCAGAATTCCGACTTTTTTCCTCAGAATTCAGACTTTTTTCCTCAGAATTCTGACATTTTTTCTCAGAATTCTGACTTATTTTCTAAGAATTATTACTTTTTTCTCAGAATTATGACTCTAATCTCAGAATTATGACTTTAATTTCAGAGCTCTGACTTTTTTCCCAAATAATAAAAAATAACTAACTTTTTTTTTTTTTCGGTGGCCCTAATCCTTTTCGGTAGACACGTCACCCCTTGGCTCTTCTAAAAAAGACAGCTTGCAGTATTTGCAGTATAGTATAAAACAAAGCTGTTTCTCTCTTCTTGAAGCGGAAATTGTTATGAGGCCGGAGCTTTTATTTTGAAATGTAAAATACCCGTTTGGCTCTTTTTCAAAGTGACGTGTACTGCTGACAGCGGCCGCGCATGCGCACTGAATCATAACACACTGCATATGAAGCCACTCCACTCATCTTCACGTCGCCTGCTTTTTTGCAGCGTAATTGTATTGGTTTCTCTGACAGCTGTGACTAAAGTGCTTTAGAAGACCAAGTTAGAGAATAAGCAGCCGTGCAGGGCTGTGAAAGTATGGTTGCTGTGAAAGCTGACCGCTTGGAGTTTGCTTCGGTTAGCAAATGGCTGTTCGTGTGGGAAGTCTGCCAGTGCGAGAAGTAAGTAAACTAACCGCTACTTTTAGCTACTTCACCACATCCATCCGCTTTAGCACCAACCCAGGAGCTCCAACACTTTAAACAAATAAAGCTTTTAGTATAACTTTAGAATTAGTGTACCAATCTGCACATATTGAGTCTTTCCTTCCTCTCCTAGCTTAAATTATGTTTTGTTTTGTTTGTTGTTTTAGAGGAAAAGAGTTTTGAAACGATGAGAACCTAAACCTGATCCAGACAAGTATGTGACAAACGGGCTCCAGTGTGGCCAAAAACTTGGTTACAGCCAAAATGGCTCGATTGGATGAAGTGGCGAACATAGCCCTCAGGGTGCCCAGCATTCTGCTTCTGGACCTGCTGTATAAATGTGACATCGAGGGATTGACTGAAAATCTCAAGGCTAAAAATGAGGACATGCTCTTCAAATACAAGTATGTCATCTGGAACATGTTCTATCTGGGTGAGTGACTGATCCTTTACTCAGACGTCAATATACTTGGAAATATTTATATATTTTTAATTAACCACTATTTGCTGCATCTAATGTACAATTCTGTTGTCTCTTTTATCTTCCCCTCTCTGGACAATGTTTTATTTTGTCTTATTTTTGCAGATATTGCAAGCTCAGTGAAATAGGGTAGAGAGGGTCTATACAATGATCTACCTTTTTTTTTCTTCTACCCCTGTCTACCTACCTAATCCTGCATATTTAGGGTTGTCTTCTTGAATGATAACCCTAAACCTCCATCTTAAATCTGTTGTAGCCTGAATCAGTTATTTCGTCCTCTTAATGCCCTGGATATAGCTCCCTACTTAACAGCTTCCGCCCAGCATCCACATTTCAATGTGATTATATTCTCAGGTTGTTCTGTATTGTTAGTTTTGTGCCACACACAGTTTCAGTTTCCACATTTGTACCATAGCTAAATCAATTTGAAAAGATCAGATAAACACTCACTTCATCAAAGGCCTTTCTTTTTTCAGTCTTTTTGTATACAAAGTTTGTACATACCCCTTATTCATGTGTTGATTTTGCTGCACGGGAGTTTGTTGCATTTCAGGGAGAAAAAATGTGGCATCCGAAATGAGGAACATTTCGGTGAAAAATCTGGAGCAACACATTAGACTAGACTAGAAAACTAAAGGTTAAGCAAAAACAGATCTTCCAAATTTATTGCCCTAAGCACAGAATAAGTGTTAAAGTAGCTTAAGGACAAGAAAGTTTATGTGTGACTTTGTCGCTCTATAAACTTCATATATTTACAGCAGTTCTGTCTGGAGGAAAATTACAGCGGGGTGTTGTGGAAAGTTTGTGGAAAAATACAGCTAAATTGCACAACTTTAAAGACTGTTTTATTGATTGTAGAATTTCTCACCTTATACAGAAAATGTTTTACACTAATATGTCAGACTGTGAGAAAATAAAAATGATTGTAACTTTAAGCAAGGGTGTTTTATTATGAAAAGGCCAGATTAGTGGGGCCTGTTACTGTCATTCTATGCAGCTTCCCCAAAGTTATCATGGCTGCTGGCGGACGGCCATCTATTGGAAGCTTTGTGGTTTTATGATTAATTAAACCCTTATAAGATTAGGAAGTCTTATAATATATCTCTGCTTCAAACTTCTCCAGAGTTTTCTCCCTGACCTGACTGCTGCATTCCTCAGAACTCCTGAAGCTATGTATCCACTAATAATACTCTCTTAAAAACGTCTGAGTCTTTTAAAAATCCTTTAATCAACCGTCTAAGCCAGAGGTCACAGATTAGCGGGCCGCGGTCCAGACCCAGACCCACCTGCTGGCTAATCCGGACCCAACCTGATTTCAAACATTTATATTTACCGCATGTTGTCCGTCCGCTGTGTCTAATTTCATTTGCGACACTTCTCCTGTTTGTACGGTAAAGCCCTCCGGGACCCGGCTGCACGTGATGCTACTTTTAGACATAGCAGGAAAACCTGTGGCAAGCCGGGCAAGAAGGAGATGGGAAAGAAGGAGAATGCGATTAGAAAAAGTGAAAGAAAGCGGGGACTGCTGGAATAACTGCGGTGAACTGGTGAAAGAAAATTGAAATGGCGTGCTCAAAGATGACCCTGCACATTTTGAGTATGTTTGGCTCCATACTGCTGTGAAGCAGGATTTTCCACGATAAACATTATAAAAAAATAAACATCGAGCCAGGCTCAAAATGAGCACCTTGATATGGGTTGGAGAATGGCTTTGTCGCTAATCACACCCAGGTTTAAATCTTTGCAGAGCAGCCTGCAGGTGAATTTATAAAATATGTGAATCAGGAAATTGTCTAGATATTGAACTGAATGATTGTTGTTCTCTACTTAAATAAGCACTTTAGATTTTAAAATGGAAAAATTATCTTTTTTTTAAATATTTTTTTATTTAAAAAGTCAGTGAATGCATGAATGCATAAACGCCTCATTTTATGTCAGTGTTAAATGCTGTTTAAAGTAACAGATTATGATTAAAAATGTCTCTGGACCTTTACTGGTTGATGATTTTCTTTATTCGGACTCTGCTGATTTTTAATTGGTGACCCCTGGTCTAAGCAGTTGGTTACCTTTGATTTTATTTAGAGGTTTAACAACAACAGGGAATGATTACAACTGATTTATAGCATTTGAATTGTGAAAATAAAATAAAAAGCCATATATTTTTCCTCTACTCTACATTCAGGTAAATATTGGTGTATTACCTAAAATCCTCATAAAATTCTCTAAAGTGGGACTCATATTTCTTGTTGCTTAATCTAAAGACAGCATCTTGACCTTCCTCCTCTTTACTCTTTATGATTTCGGTGAATCTAAAAGACTTTACCTTTTTAATGCTGTTCTGCTTTGTTCCTCAGCTCACCTGATCAACCTGGTCGTATTAATCCTGCCACTGAGACACATTGTTACGCTCTACCTTAATGTCCTCGTCGCCCTCCTTCTGTACATGGGGCATCAGGTTTCCAAGTGAGTTTTTTTTTTTTCTTATCTTTCAAAAATACCAATAAAAATAAAAATCTGAAATTAAGCTGATTATTATAAAAGAGCTTAGAATTGTCAGACAGTTTTTATCCTAGGGTGAAGAAGGTCATATTTTGACTAAGATATAACTGGATGTCTTTAGACCATAATTGAGTTTCTCTAGGAATCTTTTTAAGTAACTACACTGTCTTTATAATATTGCTGAAATGCAACAAACGTTAGTGTTACTTTATAAACAAATTCTTATCGTAATCAGGTCATTATTTTAGTGTGACAATTTCAGAAAAAAAAAAAAAAACTAAATTTAGACTAGTATTTATTTCCTGCTTTGTAATCCAGAGTGGAATCATTGGCAGCTTTGTTGATATGTTATTCATTTGCATCTGCTCTCTTTGCTCTTAGTCAGCGCTTAGAGAAATAGGGAGAGACTCTTCCTAGCTCTCGCTGCTGACTTCAGAGCGTAATTGTGGAACGATTGCCGCATTATTGCAAAGCCACTAAACTCACCAAAAACACAGGGAAAAGTCACTAGATTGTCTGTGATCACTTCTTTTTAAAGAAGTTGTCTGAGAGCTCTGAAAAGTCCACGAATAAAGCAAAAAAATTCACCAAGTTGGCAGCACTGGACTGTCTACATTTCCCTCATTACAGAGGGCAGCACAGAGCGCTGTAGCTACCACTTAGCTTAATTTACTAATGAGCAGCTTCACAGAAAGACAGACAAGAAGCCAGCAGGGATGGTTTTTCAAAAAAAAGTAAATTTTAACATTTTCTGGTATTTAGATTTATTTTAAGCTCTAATTATGATTGGAATAATTGAGCAAATATACAGTATGTGATGGCAATGCACCGTCAATTCAAGAACCTAAAAAGGAGCATAGCTTGTTTGGGAAATTTTCCATCTAAAACTTAATGATAATATCAGAGGAAAATGCTTTTATTTAATCCTATTATTTTTGGATCACAACATTTTGTACATGTGATTGAAAACCTCACTGTTTTCTTTTTAAGGGATTATGTTCGTGAGGAAGTGCAGGTTGGATATGAAGGAGCGGTCTATCTTAACTCCCTGGCCTTCAATAGATTTGTCTCTGCCATGACCAGTGAGTATGTCAGCCAGATTAGTTCCAGATGCACAACCATTAGCTTTATGAAGATCAGATTTCATCCAGTCTCAAATGACCGAAGGCGTGAAATGGAGATTCTAAATACGTTGTTTTGTTTGTGTTGTGAATCGGTTATTTTCTCAATTTGTTTCCAGAAGCTTCAGCGACAGTTATTTGTGCTCCTTTAGGATTAAGATCTAAAGTTATTTTCATTGAACCAGGTAGTTGTTTTCTGATTGGAAATTAAAGATGCTTTCTGAAAGAGAAAAAGACTATGTACACAGCGTGTTTTGTAAAAAAGAAAAAAAAAATCTTGTTTCCTAAATGATTAAAACATTGCTTTGTTTGCCTATGGCATCAGCATAAAAACAAACCATGAAGTTCCCTACTCTGTTCCTCAGCATGAGTATAGTTTTACCAAGACTGAAGGTTTCTCTTTAGGGATGTTATTAATTAATGAAATAATCTAAAGTTAACTGATTTTTATCGATCCACTGACAATTAACCAACAAGCAGTTATTTTGTTAAAAACTAGTTTTCTTTCCTATCAAGAGGATTTTTCTATAACGAGAAAGGCTAACTTTGTAATTTTTTTTTTTTTTTTTTTACAAAATCCAGAGTTAAAAAATGGTAGTATATAAAATAGTTTATTTTTTGTGCAATTTGAATTTAGATTATCTTACAAGAAAGATAATTGTTGCAAATTGTTAATTTGTAAATTCCCAAAACTAATTCTTGCCAGGAGCAGCAGATATATCAGCTACGATACAGAAATGTTTTGAACCAATGAAATTCAGTGATGTGTATGATGTCTAAACTAAAACAAAAATGGCTGCACTAGTTTTAGCTGAATATACCCACTGTTGCTTTTTGAAAAACGAGCAAAAGGATGTGTTTTTTGCCTTAGTGAATCCTGTAGGTGCTTGCACTCTCCCAGATTTTGTAAGACTTTGATTCTTCATTTAACTCTGCTAGTTATGAAACAAAACAAGCTGCTATTGCTGCTGTGATTGGCTCAAAGCTCGACATGTGAGGCAGGTACCCAATCGGCTCTAATAATTACACTGAATTTCCCTCCCTTTCTACAGGAGGCTTTTAAGTTTGTAGTTCAATTTGAATTCCATATGGTATCAATCTAGCTTATGCCAGGTTAGCATTTAAACTGACTAGATAAATAAAACAGTTTTTTGATATATTCTTTCACTTATTTATAAGATATAACAAACAGGAACCATTTAAGCTACTAAATATATTATATAAAGCAAAATCACTGAAAGCTGGTAGTTTTTATGGGTCCGGAACTCAGGCATTTTATTTAATATCCTTCTGCTTGAAGCAAAGCTTGAGGCGATGCAGTGAATTTTTACAGCATGAGGAGAGGCATAGGCCAGAATAAATGGTATAAATCCTCACAAAACTCTCCTGCTATGATATAAAACAGCAGCAGATACTACACAAAGATCTTAAGGGAGAAGTGCTAAAAAAAAAAATTTAAAGTATTTAAAAAGAATCTTCTTTTCAATCCACAACAGAAGTCTTTGAAATGACATCAATAGGAGTAGTTAGTTGCTGTTCCGCATTTAAATGGCTAAATCATAATGTCAGTGTTTTCAATAAAAGGATCAACAATTAATTTTCCTTATGTTCAAGTTTATTTTTTATTTGTTATGTTCTTCTTGTCTCATTGTCTTAACAATTTATTTTGTTTTAGAGCTTTCAATTTGCTGAGTAATTAATAAAAACAAATATTTATTTTTAAAATATTTATTAGTTTAAAATAAACATTGTAATTTTAAACATTTTTAAATGCATTTGAATGAAATAAAAATGTTTGAATGAGATTTCATTGTAGTTTGTTGAAGTGTTAATAAGATTTGCCTGTTTAATAGCAAATTGAAAGGAGGGCGGAGAAAACTTCATGATTGTGAAATTTCAGAAAACAAACTTCCTCTTTCAGTCTCTTGTCAGATTTTGATGCTTCTGAAACTTCTTATTTCTTTTTTTGTCAAACTATCCCTCTTTTTTTTGCAAAATAAATATAGAAAATCTTTCATTATGGGTTTTGAAAGAAACTCTGTGTTAGTGATATTAAGTTTAAATCAAAATAAAAGATAATTTAATCTTTCTGTCTTCTGCTGTTGCAGGTCAGATCATTCTCAGCACGCTTTGTGCCTTCCTGATGAAAACCAGAAAGGTGTGGTTATTCTCTGCTCACATGCTCCCCCTGCTGGCCAAACTCTGCAGTGTCCCTAACTCCACCCTGCTGACGGTCAACACTTTATCCATGGGTCTGAGCGCTGCAGGGATCGTCCTGTTCCTCCTCTGCAACCTTTTTGTGCCATATCGCCTCGCAAGGGCCGCCTATTCAGAGCTGCTTCAGCTGGAGGTAATAACACCCTGAACCTGTGGTGTGAACCGTTATCATCTCAATGTCTGTAGGTTCACAGCAGCATGGAAGAGAAAAAAAAAGATTTAGGCTTGTTTAACGTTCGTAGAGTCGGTCATGTTATAACTTGAAGGTTTAATGTATTTTTGGGGAAATTATTGAGACCAACAGAAAGTCATCATCAGAATGGGCTACTTTGTGCTTTCCCATGAAATTTTACCCATTAGAACTTACTCAGGATTGTGTTTTCCCAATAAAATGCTTATAAAAATGACACAGACTCTTAATGATTGTTGTGTTTATTAAATTCAGCCAACAGCTTTTCAGCTTTTCAAACTTTTTTACACCCCTCATCACATCAGGTCTCCTGTCCCATAGGTGATTGAGCTCTACAGACTGCTGGCTTTAGGAATCTCTCTGTGGAATCAGTTTGCTGTTCCAGCTCTCTTCATCGTCTTCTGGTTTGTTCTGTTTGCCGTCCAGCTGTACTCAGATGCCACGTCAGCCAGCGCCTCCTCATCTTATCAGGGAATCCTGTTCTTCTTGCTCACTAGGTAACTTTGATCTGCCTGAGTTCTCTTATGCGTTCATTGCCATTACAGTTATTTTTTTTTTCTGCGTTTGCCGAAAACCAACCCTGCAGCGTGTCGGAATGCTGTTCCACACCATACTCTCTTCTGGGTCTCACCTTCGTGGTGTCCTATCTGGCCCTCGGACTTCTCAACCTGTGCAAATTTTACCTGGGAGGTTATGCAGCCGTTCAGAATGAGAACGTCATGCACAGGTGAGATGCTGTCAGCAGCTTGCTTTTGCTTCACTGTTCTATGCTTTTAATTCATAAGAAATAACACAATTTGATATAAAAACTGCATTTGGACTGGACCTTGCAAGAGGATTAATTTGCAACTACACTAAATTGGTAATATTTAAAACACAGCAGCGGCCTAAAAAGATTTGCCAGTTTTCTTCAACCAAAGAAGTGTTGACCCATCTCCCTCCTCAGCAGCTTGAATATTAAAGATGGGATGAAACGTCAATTAAAAGTTCTCTCCCATCATTAATGACGTCTCTCAGTAGTGAAGGAAACGTAGAAACAGACCTGTGTGTCCAACTTAATGGTTTTGTTGCTTTATTTAGGGACTTTTCAGACACCTCTAGCAACTTCTTTTTTTAAAAATGGGCCACAGATGAATCTAGTGAATTTCTCCTCTGTTTTTGGTGAGTTTAGTGACTTTGCATGAAAGCAATGATCGGACTACAAAGCAGGATATAAGTATGATGTAAATATGTCAGTTTTTCTATCCATACCAAAGCCAGTGACATCACTCATTTAGATTGGCAGGCAAACATGGCGGATATAAAAAACTGAAATGGATAGGGATAGCGACAAATATACTTATGAATCTTCATCAAAAGAGCATATTTTAACAGATGGCAAACAAAACCCAGTGAACGAAAAAAGCCCTGCAAATTGCTGCCCCATATGTTGGTGCCTATGAGGAAAATGTTTAGGCTTTTTTTTTTTACATCACTCAAAGAGCCCACTGCCATCAGCGCATCAGATTGCTATTATTATTATTGATAACACCAAAAATGCGTCAATTAAACCAGAACACGATACCTTTAGCTCCTGTCAGATGAGAACTGATCACCCGGTGTGATGTCACTGGTTTTGTCGCTGCAGCCAAAGCATTGGGTTGCTAAGGCGCATTCTAAGATTAGGCTAAAAGATCTGATAAAAATGTTTATTAACTATGACTCTCCAGTCCTCACTGTGAAAGAAATTAAAGATGCATGTCTCTAAATAACTAACTTTTTGTCCCATCTTTAAAATCCACTCCAAGTTATCAGCTCAGTATGCTAATTATAAAAAAAAAATAGTTTAAGCTATTGGAGTTGGTCTTCTGTGATGGCTCATTTCAGATGCATCTACTTATGCTGACCGCTGTTAGATTCTGATATATTTCCCTCTGTGTTCAAACAGTGCAACATATGTGGCCCGTGCCGTTAGTGTGTCCATGACCGGCTGAATGACTGAATGTAGTGTAAAGCGCTTTGGTTAAGTCTCCTGGCCATTTCCAACTTGTTCTCTGCTACTTATTTATTCCAGTTTAATAGCTTTAAGATAAAAAATAATTAAATAAATGAAGAAAAAACAATCAGAAACCCTGTGAAAGAGAAGTTTTGCTTGTAGTGGCATTTTGGCTTGGTTTTTTATCCTGCAGAAACTGATCAGTAGGGAAGGTACTGTTTACTTTAGAACAGACAGGTCCGCAGTAACCGGCAATGCTAAATAGATGCTAATGGTAGAACAGGGCAATATGGCTTAAAAATCTAATCTCAGATTTTACTTTTTTTATTTTTTAAATCTAATTAATCACATTTTTTTAAAACCTAAGATTTAAAATAAGCTGTAAAATAGCTTGATAACAAATGTTTCACAAAAAACTGTGAAAATATAACAAACTAGGGGGGACACGATACAACTTTTCCATTTACAATACAGATATTAACCAGATACACTATCAACCTTATTCAAACATACTTTTATTACTTATTTATTGTTGTGCAATGATGGAAAATGCTTGATCAAGTGATATTTTCAAAATGGTGAACAATACTCATTAGGTATGAGAATAACTGACCCATTTCTTATTCACCAAAAAGTTAAATAAACTTTTAACTGAAGCAGATAGAAGCAAAGGGTTTCTATGAGCTTTCTAACAGAGAGGCAGGCCAGTATATTTAACCTTTTTTTGTTAAATTTTCTTTTCCTCATTTCAGGTTGCTTTTTTTTTTTTTTTATGAGAAAGTTTTTTTAACCTTTAGTTCACGTTTCTTTAACTTCTCCTTGTGTTTTTTTTTTCTCAGAGGTGTAACAGAGGGAGTCACTCTTCTCCTGCTGGCCCTTCAGACAGGCCTGTTAGACATGCAGGCGCTGCAGCGCACCTTCCTCCTTAGCATCATCCTCTTCATTGTGTTGACATCAACCTTGCAGTCGATGATTGAAATAACAGATCCAATTATTCTAGCCCTGGGCGCGTCACGCAACAGGTACCAGCAGCACAGCCCATCTGTTTCCTTTAGTCAAAACTCAAACCAGTCAGAGCTAAATGTTTTTTACAGCCTCAGGTTTTTTCTCTCTGTTTGTTCTTTACTTTTAGGAGTTTGTGGAAACACTTTCGTGGCCTCAGCATGTGTCTGCTTCTGCTGATTTTCCCCGTGTTTATGGCTTATAAAATCTCCCAGTTCTTCCACATGGACTTCTGGCTTCTTATACTGGTGTCCAGCTGCATGCTAACCTCCCTTCAGGTCAGGATGCTGTATTTTCTGCCATATTGAACAAAATTAATTAAGCAACATTGCTCTAAATAATTGTGATTATTTAAACTGCAACACAACTTTTTCTTTTTTGATATAGAGGGGAAAAGTAGATATTTTCTTATCTTTTTGTGTCCTGTAACCCTAACCCTATAACTTCTATTTAATGTTGCTTCATACCGTTCAGAAATGTTCCTATAAGTGTATCCTCTGTCAGGTAAATCACATTTCTGTGATCCTTACAAAGGTAAAGCTGGCCTGGAGGCAAAGTCCATGTCTTTCTAGGTATTAGTGGTTATCATGAGTAGGTTGCACTCTAATGTTCCCCTATCACCTTGTTTCTTTTGCTTTCTTTGGCAGGGGCCCAACATTATGAACCTTCCAACCAGCCGTTTCACATTTTCCAAATACCTACTGGGCACGAGGCATATACTTCCAAGTTTTATATATAGAAATGCAGCCAATCTCTGAGCACTAACCATTTTAACCTTTTATAGGGCACTCAGTGAAATACTATGAAAATCAGAATGTTAAGCCAAGAGTGTTAGAGGAGGACAGAACCCGACCATATTGCTTTTGTAACATTTAATATGACTTCTCATTGGCCTCATGGAAGGCGCATTTTTTAAAGTGGAGAGGGCGGGTCTTTTAAAACAATCGCGAAAAGCCTCCACAATACCTTTTAAGTTATAACATCATGCTTCAGCATATCATAGATTAATGTTGGGTAATTTTTTTCCGTTGTATTATTTCTAGTTGCATTTGAAATAAGAATTATATTAAAGTCATTCATTGATATTCTTTGAAAGACCCGCACTCTCCACATAAAAAAAAAAATTGTGCTTGTGCGAGAGCATTCACGAACCCATTTCTCCTTGTGCAGGCTCTGTTTAATAAGTTGCTTGCTACTTTCTAAGTAAGTAACTTGCTAAGTTGCATACAAGCTTACTGTGTCCAAATGTCTGCTCTAACCCCTCAAACCCTCAAGCACTATATAGAGCGGGGACTTTATAGCAAACTCAGTTAACCTACCGTTCAGAAAAATGATCACTGCTTTTTGCTCCCTTGGTCACGTAACTCCTCCTCCATCGCACTGTGCCTGTGCCATCTATGTTCTTTGTCACCGCTGTCAGGTAGCGACATCCTATGGTGACAGCGGGCTGCTTTGACGGCAAATTTCATAATGCTTTGCGAGAGAACTCCCAGCGCAAAGCATTCTAGGATATATCTGCTTCTTCTGAGGCCGTTCTTTATTTCTCATACACTTCGTAGACGCTTTTTCTCTTAAAGCCTTACGTAAACGTATCACCAGAATGATTGACAGTTAGGAGAACCACGTATTTAGATGATCCACCCAGAAATAAAAGATCGTCCTATATACCTTAAAGCCCAGGTAAAGCTGGTTATGACTATTTAATCTTTGAAGCAACATTTTTTTTTTCCATGTCACAATGACTGCAGTGCGTACAGAGAGTTTTTTGCTATGCATATCCCCATCTGTGCATTTTTTTTGTTATTTTTTCACCTCTCTTCCAGTTTTCCTCAAAGGTAAAACATCCAGCGCTACAAAGCAAAGTCTCACTTCATGACAAGCCTCATGTTTTTATATTTAGAGGTCCAGAGACGATTAGCATTTCAGCTTATTTCTAGGGAAGTATTCTGTTTGTTGAAATGTTTTGATTTTTGTACGTCCCAGTCTGCCCTTCCTGCGCTCTGTGTGATTGAAATAACAGATCTAATTATTCTAGCCCTGAACAGGGAAAACCTGATTCTTTTCTCTTGTGATTGACAGATTTTATTTTGAAACTTAAACCAAACCAGATGTGTTTTACTTTGTAACCGGGTCTCTCTTTGTGTCAGACCCATAAAATTACTGCTGTGTTGCTGTGAAATCTGACTAAAATAGACCTTACCTACACTACCCCTCTTCAGGAAAATCATGTCGAGTGTGTTCATCCCCATGGACCCTCAATTAAACTTGCACCAGTTTGTCAGCAGTGCTCAGTCATCAAATGACTTTTACATGATCTACCATGACCGGCAGGTCATTATAGAAAACCACAGATTTTAAATGCTGGTCGTTGTTTCTGAGCATACACGCGTCCTTTTCCAGTGTTTGGTCCATGTTTGTTTCCGTCAGAGTGCCCAAGACAGGGACACAAATTACCTGTTAACAGAGGGAAGAGGAGACTGCATTCTTAGAAAGATCAGCAGGGAATCAGTGTGAGAACACAGAGAGGGAGCACCATAAATAGGATGAGGGGGCCAGCCATGTAGCCCTGTGGAGCTAAGGAACCACAGCGGTAGGTGGGAGGAGCCCGCTGGGCAAACAGCGCACCAGAGCAGGGAGATAAGGCCCAAAGTTGGTCCTCGAGGGCCGTTGTCCTGCAGGTTTTAGAGGTTTCCCTGCTTTAGCACAGCTGATTATGATGATTGCAGTTGAGCAAAAGCCTGTTAATGAGCTTTCAATTAAAATTAGCTGTGGTGGAGCAAGGCAACCTCTAAAACCTGCAGGACAGCGGCCCTCTAGGACAGACTTTGGGGATGCCTGATTTAGAGGCTACCTGCAGAAGAGGAAGAAAGAGGGGGTCAGAAGAGCCTGCCAGGCAGACGGAGTGGGGAGAGAAGGAGACTGCTGGTCATTTTGGAGGAAGGATCACCAAACAGTCCTTCTAGGGCTAAATTAAAACAGCATTTTTAAAAGTCACCTTAAAACAACCTAAAAATAAGCAATACCAGTTCATCGTTTTTCTCTGTCTTCGAATTTTGATTTAAAAAGCTTGTCTCCACTGCCTCCTTCACTAAACACTGGTCAGCTCATATCACCATTTGTATTTTTTTTTTTATATTATGTTTCAGTACAGGGGCCATAAGAGGGGATAGGACCAGTTCTAGGAGCACTGTCCACCCATGGAGCAGCTATTGATCATAAACTGAAGCCATAGGAACTCCTAGATAGCTGTACTGACAGAGAATTCATCAACAGTAGAAAAAAAAACATGGCAAAATGTTTTTGCCTCAGAAACCTTATGTATATCGTCTCCTGGTTGGTTCGACTGCTGAGTTCTTTAGAGGCCCTGGGGGTTCCTCATTTTAAAGTTTTTGTTTAAAGTTCCATTGATATTGTCACACTATTAACTCATATCTCATAACTCAGGTTTGTTTAGGGTGGGCATCTGCTAAGAAGGTCCTTGACTTCCTGTATTATGAGTTTCCATAAACAGCAACAATGATGATGTTGATGATTCCTGTTTAGGTCACAGGCACAATGCTGATCTACTTCCTCTTCATGGTGGAGCTGTTTCGCAGCGACCCAATCGAGAGCCTGGACGAAGTGATCTACTGGGTGAACGCCATCAGCAGGGTGCTGGAGTTCCTGGTGGCGCTCTGCGTGGTGGCCTACGGCACCTGGGAGTCTCTGTTCGGGGAGTGGAGCTGGATGGGCGCCTCTGTCATCATCATCCACTCGTATTTCAATGTTTGGCTCCGAGCTCAGTCTGGCTGGAAGAGCTTCCTGCTCCGACGGGAAGCAGCTAAAAAGATCAACTCTCTTCCCAGAGCCACAGCGGAGCAGCTGGACCAACACAATGACGTTTGCTCCATCTGCTTCCAGGTGGGTTACTCATTTCGCAGGCTGATCGCTGCGGTCAATTTAAGGTTGGGTGCTTTTAGCTGGATGTTCCAAATAGCTCAACATCATTTTAGATGCAAACAGACTTTTTTTTTTTTTTTTTAAAGGAGGCATCACCTGGAAATCTGACTAAAACCTTATTTACTCATGAACAAATGATTTTCTTTTTCTTTTTAACAGACATATATGTACCATTACATTGAAAAGTCAGATGTAGAACATTTGGGACAAAATTTTTATCTAAATACGCCTTTTTTATCATTACTTTATAAAAAGAAAACCGTATCTAGATAAATATCATATAACACCGTGCAGCTAAAAAACACTGAGATAACTGTAGTCGTATTGCCCAGCAGACATATTTTCTTCAGACTGAAACAGCTGATCTAATGATTTTCAATGAAGACATCATCAAAATAAGCAAAGCTAGAAACAAAATTTCTATTTCCTTGTTTGAACAAAAAAAAAGCTAATTTTACCAAAGACATGATCTAACATGATTGATCTATCTCAGGAGCTGAGCGTCCTGCAATGCCTCATGGTAAAGCGGTAGCTCTGCCTGATGTTAATTAAATAAGCCAATCTACTTGAACTTTAGGAGCTTATATCAAAAGATGAATGAAAATGAAAATTACCGTTCATAACAAAAGCAAACAGGGACACAGCATCAAGGTAAGAACCAACCAATCTGTATTTATAATTTTTACTTTAGACTGTAGAGGCTAGCAGTGCTGTTACTATTATCACAGCATTAACAAAGATGTTTACCGGTACTCGTGACTATAAAATCTTTGGCCACATCTGAAAGCCTCAGCAGCCTTAGCTTCTTCTTTAGCAATGTTTCAGTCCGTTTCTTTGCACTTGTTTTCACACTGCAACTTAAACTTTTCTTTAAACTCATTGTTTACCTCCTGTACACATGTGCAATGTTGTACTTCCGTCGTTATCGTGAATATACACAAAGGGCTTTATTTACTTACTGAATGATCAAAAACATAGCATGAAACTCCAAAATAACAACTAATACGCCAGTAGGGTGTGATAATCTTTCAGAAAAACGTGTGTAACCGGAGTGAGTTACTGGTGTATAAAAACAAAAATGGTCAAATAAGCTGACTATGTACCTTTAAAACGTGTTTGCTGGTATTGATCCTAAAACCTGCTCGTAGACTCTGCCCACAGTGTGAGAGTGGCTGGCATTTTTTAAAATCTTTTTTCTGTTTGCTCGTTATTTAAACCAGAAAAGCCCAAAAGAGTGCCTTCCACAGAGCGCTGTTTCATTCCTCCTCCTATATTTGCATCATTGTGGAACATTACCCAGTCGTGCTATCATCATCATTCCCGTCCATATTCCATCAAAAGACTTGGATTTAGACAGAAATTTTGTTAAGAATATTTAATTGCAGCTTTGAAAACAGTAAAAGATACATAAAAACAATAATATAAACATATGGCTTTATATTTACAGTTCTAAAATTTCATTTTTTTTATAATAAAATATAATGAATATAATATAATAGAATAGAATTACCCATTTTACAAAACATTCAGCAGTCTAATGGCAGTGGGGAAGAAACTGTTAAGGAATCTGTTGGACACGCATCGGATGCTTCAAAGCCTCTTCCCAGAGGACAGCAGGGAGAACGGTCCCTGGTGGAGGTGTAAGGGGTCAGTTATGGGCTTGTGACACACAGCGCTGGAATTAAATGTCTTTAATGGAGGGAAGGAAGGTGCAATTCCACCAATTAATGATCTACCTGTAGGCTGAAACAATTAGATCCATTATGATTATTGATATAATTGTTAACTAATTTGGTCATGGAAAACAGATTATTGTTTAAAGTAATGGTACATGGATTCTAAAACAGGCCATTGGATGAAAGGGGTGGTTCAAAAATACACAACTTCTTGATTTAAGATCATAAATCTGCAATATTCACTGATGCATTGTGGTGCAGTAATGTTTGGTGTGATTTTCTAAAGATATGGAAAAAAGATAGATGGTGGAGGCTGTCTCACCAGCTGTTTTAGTTTTGGTCACTACTCAAGATTTGTTTGCTTTTCCATAAACTTCTACCTCGGGGGATATTGTTGTTTCAAACAATCCTCACCTGACATGGGATTCCTGTTAAAACTGCCCCTGAAGAAAAGATATAAACTCCGCCCAGAATAAGATATCCAAGAGATCAACTTCCTTTTTTTCTTATTTAAGGCCGACATGTGCTGCTGAATTTTTATTTATTTTAATTTATTTTATTTTATTTTGTTGGGGGGGTTGAAGCTATTTTTTTTTTCTACTTCCTCCAAAGTGACACAATGATAACTAATGTTACACAACTCTTAATATAAACCAAAAAGGAACATTAAGGAGCTAAAAATAAAGGGAGGCATGGCTGCTGAATGCACCAATGATTTGGTGAATGCATGAACGTATCGGTCGATGTCGATACTAGAAAGAAAAAAAAATCTAATATTGACCCGAAATATCAGCAGGCTGATATAACAGTCTATAACACCACAAGTTCTTTAAAAAACACACACATGATAATTGGAATATTAAAAGTAAGGTACAGCAATGAATCAATGTTCTCTTACCACATAGAAACACATTTTATTTAAAAAAAAATGAATTATCCTCTCTGATCGACTCCTAACCAAATCAGTAACAAGTCAGTTTCTTTGTTCACTTCTGATTAAAGCCTATGAAAAATCCTTTTATCAGATTCATCTTTTTTTATGTTTCCACTTTATCGCAGTTTTTTGCACCGTTTGATCCTCCTTCAAGCTGCTCCACTAGTCGGATTGCAAAAAAAATCCCCTGTGAACAAAGAACTGAAATTTTTCCACAGATTCTGCCTCCAGAAGTAGCCACTGTGTAGAACAAGAAGCCCAGAAGCCTGGATGTCAAGCTGTCCTCTCTGGCTTCATGTCCGTTCTGTCAACAAACCACAGCCGAGCATTTAAACAAAATACTTGACACAGTGTGGACTTTTAGACGTGTTGTTCCTGTTTTTCCAGCTTGACTCTACCTCCTCTAGTTCTTGCTTTCAGTTTTTTGTTTGTTTGTTTGTATGCTTACAAAAATATTGATACAGATAAATCATTTGTGTATAAATTATATTTCTGTAAAGCACTGGTTACTGTGGCCAACAACCAGCTGGCTCTTAACGATTGTTGTTAAACCAGATTTGTGTTTCTCTCCAGGAAATGAGCTCAGCTGTCATCACATACTGTGGACATTTCTTCCATGGCAACTGTCTCCGCAAGTGGCTGTACGTGCAGGAAACGTGCCCCATGTGCCACCAAACGGTCCGACCGACACCCCCAGGTCAGATTCCAAGCGACGGCGATCGAGCAGCTCCGCCGCAGAGGGACGCACAGGAAGCAGAACAGAATCTCGAGGGTGGAGCAGCGAACGAAGCGCAGAGCATCGAGGGAAATCCTGATCCTGCCCTGCAAGATCAGGGATCTGATCCTGACGGTGAAGCCGTCCAAGACCTCTCTTTCAGATCCAAATGTGTCCTCCCAGTTGATCCCTCTGGCTCCTGTAATAAACTGGACAGAACTTCTCAATGTCACAGCCAGGTTGAGGTGAACGGGGCAGATTTATCTCAGAATGAGAACCAATCAGTGTCTGATTTAGCAGAACTCCCCCATCCTAATCACCATAGGACTTCTGAATCAGGGTACAGCCTTCATCCATTCAAGGATCGAAAGCTTGTATGCAGTGGTCCCCAAACATCTCATGAATCATGTAAGCAAACATCAGACTCTGCTGACCACGTGAACAGCCATCATCGTCTCTGCCCACATTTAGATTTGCTCAGTAAGGGTGAACCTGTCCCACAGGTCCCCCAGGCCTCGTCCTCAGGTACCGCCGATTCCTCTACAGCAGCGGCCGAGCGTCCTCCATCTGTGCCTTGAAGGATTTCAAATCCAAAGAGGGCGCGATCTGCCTTCTTTTTGTGAACCAGTGTATAAAAAGAATCGTATGTCCCATCAGGCATTATATTGAATGTTGTCCACATAAAGAAAAGCAACACCTCTGAGTATTGGACCTATTTCTGTACACAGAGTAAAAACTATCACCAACCTTAAAAAAAACTATCATCCTGAATCAGTGTTTTTTCTTTACTATTTATTTTGCTTTTATCAGTTTTAATTTACCTTCTTTTGTAGCATGATAAAGAGCAGATTTTGTTTAAATATTGCTATCATAGCCATAATCTAAGATAATGTAATATTTTGGTTCTTTTCTGGATGTAATGTTAGCATCAAACTGAACATGAAGGAGTTACTTTAGAGACTTACTTGATCTGACTTTTTGAATATTTACCGCAAGTTCATCTCCAATTTTAAAACAATTCTTGGAATTGTATTTTAATGCAAAAGAAGCAAAAGTCATAAACTCCTGCAACAAATGTATTTATTTCATGTCTTTATTTCAGCAGCCGATAAAGAAGAATCACAGGAATTAGCCTGTACCCTTTAGCTTACTTCTATTTCATGGGGTTTTATGGTGTAGAACATTTGAAAGTAAGGGCATCTTAGTGATTGAAAGGACAACGTGACATGATTTCTAGATTTTTTTTTTATTATTATTTTTTGCAAATAAAAACCTGTGAGGTGGTGTGCATTTATATTTGTGTGGAAACTTCTCACTGCTGCTAAAGCTGCAAATGGTGCTGTCTTGTGTCCAGTCAAAAAAAAGGAAAACTTCAGCTACATCATCTACCAGATTTTTTTTTTCTTCCCATATTGCCCTGTATTCAGCTCCCTCAACGTTTCCAACTCAAGTCTAACCTGCCTTCTTGTTTCTGATGATGATGAACTGAACTGCATCCCCACAAAGTGACTCTGTCACTCGCCACCATGTTTCATAGTGGGGAAAGATTTCAAAAAAGTTTTCATTATCTCCTCCAGTTACCACAGGCCACTTGGCTACTCCTCTGTTATCTTTTTCTTCCCAGTGCTGTCATTTTTAGGTGGGTGGCCATATCTTTGTAGATTGTACAGTTGTACAAGAAGGCATGAGATCCCACTTTCACATCTCTACCACTTTATCCCTCACTTCATAAATGAAGGTGAATGACACCAAAATATGACTAATTTTGTTATTTAGTTCAAAGGGGCCTTATGTAACAAGCTGTAAAGGTAGACCAAAAATGAACAGTGTTTTATTACCTTTAATACAAATTAGAAAGAATAGTGAGTTTTGTCTATCATATCAAGGGAAATAAATTTGTCATTTGTACCTGTAAATTTGAAATTCCTGTTCATAAATGTGTCATTAGTATATACGTCATTGTGATTTGAACTCAAATTTGCTTTGCTTACTTGTAAACTGTTCTATCTCACCCTTAGCAAAAAGTAGTATACTTGAAGAAAATTCTATTAAGAATACTTAAGTATAAGTTAAGAAAGTATATCTAACAATATACTTTTAGCATACTTGAAGTATTACTAAAGTAATACTTTTCGACCTAAATTAACTAACATTTTTAAGTTTCATAAAGTATACTTTAGTAAACAATAAAGTAAACAATAGTATAGTCAAGTACACTTGACTATACTATTGTTAAGTATATGAAATATAGTATTGTAGCAATTTTATAACTTTCTAACTTATAAATTCTACATTTGTGTTATCACAGATTAAGATCTGATGTCACATGTATCTTTTAGTTAACAAGGAGAAAACAGATCCTTTACTTATATCATTCAAATTTAGATAATAATTCATACGTTTTTATTACTGGTAGTGATGTAACCCCATATTTATACTAATAATGGGTTTTAAAACACACATTAAAGACACATTCGGACTGTGTGCAGTTCGTTTGGCTTATGTTTGTTTTTTTTTGCCACGAGAAAAGATTAGATGTCAGAACTGGTTTGACAAGTTATAGGCTTGTAACCAATTCTGCCATCACATCCGCGTCGTCATTGCGCAGCCATCAGCAGCACCGCCTCCTCCGTCATAAAGCTTCATATATATGTAGACAGCCGCTAGTTACCTAACAGCGTCGACCGAAACCAAAACGAGAGAAGCTCCGTCGACCAAGGATTTTTTTTTATTGGTACAGGCACTTATTAAACTCCAAACTTGGAGGTTCTGATATAGATAATTGTCATTTGGTAAAGAGAAACACTTTATAAAAACAGAGTGTAACGTCTGGTGTTTGAACTCCGCGTATACGTAGTTTTAGCACGCTAGCTAGCCGGCTAAGTGCGCTAGCTGAAGAAGAAAGGCCGTCGAGTTGACACAGCGTCGGCAATCCAACGGAAGGAATCGCCCTGGCAGATTACAGCTGGCCTTCAATAGCTGGACCACAGACAAGAAAATCACCCTAAAGACGTCAACACCGAAAGAGGATGGCTCTGAAAAGGATCCACAAGGTAACGCAGCGTCGTTGAAATGTTAGCTAGCATCGTTAGCCCGGGCTAGCCACCCACCATGTAGCCGTATCCTGTGAAACCAGGCGGTGACGCGTGTTCGAGGAAGCGTCAACTTCGCCGCTTTTCATGTACAACCATTTTACGAATTTGGTGTTTAGTTTTGAAGTATCTTTTTTTCTCATGTGTGTTTTTTAAACTTTATTTTTTACTTCTTAGAACTGCCAAATCCTGGTTTAGGTTTAGTTTCTAAACGTCTCAGCGGCTATTGTTAGCAGTTTCAGTTACATGCTAACTTTGTTCATCGAGTTGACAACAAGATGTCGCGTACTTATCCTAGTTCTACATACCTCCATGCTTAGTTGTAGTTTCAGTCCCTCTGATCGCTGAACTAAGCTCGTACTGGAGTATCCTAGTTGCGAATATTTCCCTATCCAGTGCTTACTGGAGTTTATGAGTCATTTTACTTTGTAAATCTGCCTTTGTACTCCAAGTCGGGAGTGTGGAGAGAATTTCCCTGGAAAGGATCCACTCTTTCGCGTTTATATCTACTTTTCGGTGTAAGTGTAATGATCCAAACTTGACACCAAAAGTGTTGACACTCATCACTTCATGTTTTCACTCTGGAATATTCTTTCAGGAAAATCCTTTAACTTGTTTGTGAAATGGTGACTGAAGGCCGGGGTGGGGCAATACTTCCACCTCACTCCAAAATAGCTGTATACCCATAAATAACAGGGTAGTTTATGCTCTGGATACACGGGGCCACTTTTGTTCGTTTACCGTAGAGATGACTGATGCCTGGTCCATGGTTTGTCTATGACAATCGAAAAGGGGTCAACAGTAATGGTGGATCATGTGAAAGGAAACTGTTTTGACAGTTAAATCCATGATTTTTAAGAGTAAAAATGTCTACATTAATTATAAGTAACTCTTTTTTGTTTATTTTTTTAAATTACTGTTTGGTAAATTGGCGATTGTTTTGACTTTTATTATAGGAACTAAATGACCTGGCTCGTGACCCTCCAGCACAGTGCTCCGCTGGCCCAGTGGGTGATGACAGTAAGTGTTATCTTTTTATGTAAGCATACCAAACTAAAAAAACGACACATTTAGTTATAAATGTATCTAACTGATTTTTGTAAAGATAAATTTCCCCGTTTCCTCCTTACTAACAAGCCCTTTAATAACATATGCTGAAAGTTTTTTTATTTTTTATTTTTAAATACTGGATAAAAAAATGTTTTTCAAATAGAAAATACAAGTGTTAGTTTTTCTCATTTCATAAATGAAGGTATATCACACCAAAATATGACTACTTTTGTTATTTAGCTCAAAGTGGCCTTATGTAACATGTTGTAAAGTTAGACCAAAAGGGGACAGTCTCAGGTTTTTTTTGTTTGTTTTTTTACCTTTAATACAAATTAGAAGGGATGGTCAATTTTTGATTGTCTTGTCAAAGGGAAATAACCAGCTTCTAATCCCTGGCTTTTGATTGGTGCGTCCTGAAGTATATTTTTTGTTTAGCTGATATTTCAAAACAACAACCTCAACTCCACCCTTTTTTTTTTTTTTGGATAATGATTTGAATAAAACAAAGTGGATTTTTCTATAAACAATCACAGGGAACAAATGGTTGCTACCGGGAAGCTGTGAGCGCACTTTGACAGCATACTTCCCGTCAGATCACATACCTGTGACCTTTCGCCATTCTCTAACATTTACTTTCTGTTCTCTGCAGTGTTTCACTGGCAAGCCACAATCATGGGACCTGTAAGTATTTTATGACTTAATAGTTGCACTCTAACATGGAATAGAATGGTGTCCCTTGCTGCCTTTGAATACATCCATTAGATAAAGGTCCAAATTTGACTTGATGATGTGAGCTGAGGTCAGGAAGTGTATCTGAATCCTGAGAGGAAAAAAAAACTGGAATGTTTTTGGTTACAGAGCGACAGTCCATATCAAGGAGGAGTTTTCTTCTTGACAATTCATTTTCCAACAGACTACCCCTTCAAACCCCCCAAGGTGAGCCGGTGTCTCCATAAACTGTCTGAACTTGCTTTGCTGGCGGCTTTCCGCAGAATGTTTTAAACCTCAGTGTTTTTGTTGCTGCCTTTAATGCTGTCAACATTTTATAATATTGAGATGTATATATGTAATTTGTTTTAGTTATCAGTGTTTCCCGCTATGACCTGTCCTTGGTCATCCTTGAAAAGAGGTCTTGATCTTATTGTGTTTAATTGATTAGATAAGCTTTTTATTAAGTTAAAATGGCTGGACCAGAATACCTAAAAGTACAATGCTGTTTCGTGAAAATGTATCTTTTTAAGTTGACGTCTTTTTATTGTTGTGAATGAAAATACCAGTTTGGTCTGTCAGTCTTATCTGCTTGGAAACTTTTGATGCTGTAACTTGTCATTCCACAAGCAGACAGTCACTGCTTTGTAAAGAGGAATTTGGATTATGTAACAAACGTGGACTTTTTTATTTATCCTTATCTAACATATTTTTTTTTTTTTTTTCCTTTAGGTTGCATTTACAACGAGAATTTACCACCCAAATATTAACAGTAATGGCAGTATCTGTCTGGATATTCTCAGATCACAGTGGTCTCCTGCACTTACTATTTCTAAAGGTACGACAAGCTTATTTAATTTATAATTTTATTCAGTCCACAAGTTGGATCTCTTAAATTCACAAACTCTTTGTGAGCTGTAACATGGTTGGCACAAGAGGTGAAATGAGTAAATGTTCTTTATAAAGCGTCTTTCATCTGTCTTGCAGTTCTTCTCTCCATTTGCTCACTCCTATGTGACCCAAACCCTGATGACCCACTAGTGCCAGAGATTGCACGAATCTACAAAACAGATAGTCAGAAGTAAGTTTCTGTTCAGTAAAAAATGTTTGTCTATACCTAAACAAAAAAATGAACCAGTTGTCTCAAAGTTTATTTTTTATGGTGCTGTGTAGATGATTAATAAAGTGGCTGGGACCTATTATGTAACCTGGTTTCCCTTTGTTAGGTACAATAAACTAGCTCAGGAGTGGACAACAAAATATGCCATGCTTTAGGGTAAGGTGAAGGGCCAGTGCTGCATCTTGGCTGCTGTTATGAGGTTGGATGTGCTGCGATGCTCTGATATCACTGGCTTAACCAGAGGCTTGCATCCATGTTTGTAGAAAATGTGTGAATTTGATGACCTGCTCTTTTGGCCCACATAAGGGCTGCTATTGATTGGTTTTGGTTAAAGGTTTAATTTATTTATTTATTTTTTTAACATGGCTTCACAGAAATGGCCACTTTGCAAAATGAAATTCTGTTAGATCTGATTAGATTTTATTTTCTTGGTAGAGATGCACCGATAGCAATTTTTGTTTGGGTAGGTGGGTTCTATGGCAATTTTAAACATTGGCTGTGGATATGGATGCTGGCCATCACATCTGTGGTGTGAAAAACTGCTTTCAAAATGCATTTGGTCTCTTTATTTATTTTTTCCTGCCACCGGTAGTGTAACGTTTGGGGACCTTCTTGTGTGAAATGTGGTTAAACCCACATTTTAAAGCAAATGTGAAATCTTTTTCATCTTGATGGCTACAGGTGTTTCTAGAACAAAGATCTTGACCTTTTTTTAAAACGGTAACTGTTCCATAACACAGTTCAGATGTTGTTGGTAAAATGAATCAACTTTGTGCAGAAAAGGGCTTCAACTGAGGAGTGTTGTTCAAGCTGATGGCTCTTGTTTTGGAGTTCCCAACCAAGCAGTTTCCAGTAGGAGCTGCTAAATCTGAAAGTCGGGTTCTGACGGCAGCTTAGTCCTCGGTGCATCTCTTATCTGTGAGACGACAAACAAAATGGCTTCATGTGGATGAAGTGTACTGGAAAAAGCTGTAATAAATTAACCATAGCAAATGAAATTTAGGATAAGATCTTAATTTTTGTACTTTTTAATGAGTCTACATTCGAAAGCGTGCATATTAAATCAGGGTGTATGTCTGCATGTAGTAAAGATTACTAACATAAGCATGGAAGTAATTAGTCAAAAATCCCTCATTTTCAATTTTATCTACTGCATTATTTTAAGGCCTCTGTTTTTGAGCTTCTTTAGGAGCTCCTGTTCTGACTGAAAGGTGCATGTGCTTTCAATCTCAAGCTGTAGGACACAAGCTTAAGCTATTGAGTTTTTCGACCTCTATAATCATGGCGTCTTTCTCTCAACAGATACATCAAAATGGCAAAAGAATGGACACAGAAGTACGCGATGTGATGGCATCGTACCAAGAGACCAGGGGGAAATCGTTGCTGGTTCAAACTTAAAATTACGGGATTCAGTTTTTCTTTTTCATTGTATTATTTTTGGTTAAATCAATGCATTTTATCCCCCTCCTTTTTTCTTTTATTTCTCAATACCTGCACGCTCATAAGAAGATAGTGTTTTCTCTGTAGGTCACATGCTGGTTTCTGTCAAATTGTGACACTTTTTTTTTTTTTTTTTTTTCTGACTTAAAAGAATCATAGCTCTTAACACTCGTGCGAGTGTGCTCAACCTATTGTAAAAATTCACACACTTTGATCAAGCTGTTATCTTGCTGAAAAATGGCCCATCAACAGACTGGTTCGTCTTCGATTGCTGCATTTCTTTCGTGGAACCTGGGTTTCTATTTTGAGCTTGCAGTACCATAAGATTTAAATTTTCTAATTGGTAAAAGTTTGCATTTTTATCAGATGCCAAAATTTGAGTGAAGGTTTTTGTGAGGAAACTGGTAGGTAGTTCTGTATCATGGATCAATGCGACAGTGGTATGTTCCTCTGATCAATAGTATAGGATAATATCTGAAAAATGTATCTCATTCCACTATCAAAGGTGTACAGAGAAGCAGATCAGCATATATCAATGTTAAGGAAACCAATATAAGATCTTAAATGTTGTATTATATGCATGTTAATAAAGGTAGGCTTTTATATCTGATGTTTCTGCAAATTAAGTGATTTGTAAGGTGGAACAGTTGGAAAATTTTTGTTTCCTCACTAATGCTTTCCATTTCTTTTTATTTATAAGCCAGTAGGTGAGCATTTAGTTTTTTTTTTATGTCCACTCAAACACTGTCTTCTTGTAGCCCTGAAATATTGACACAAAGCTGAAGGTTGATTCATCAACTTGTGGCTCTGTTTCTTCTTTAGTTTTCCCTTCAATAAAGTTTCTCCAAAAATAACTTTGTTTTCTGTTCATTAATAAAGAAAAGTCCTCTCCAATATAACAAATGTTAAGTCAAACCTGTGGCGCTAACTAATAAAATGGTTTGATTACAAATGCATTGGTATCCTTTTTTTATGAGCAGTCTGCAAATTGTTTAATTTATCATGGCTTGTAGAGAACTTGATAATAGCCAGAGTTCTCAACTAAATGAAAACGTATTGGAATAAAAAGTGGGAGATAAACTTTATTGATGCCACATTAGAGAAATTTAACTCTGCATTTATTCCATCCCCTCGGGAGCATTGGGCTGCCACTATGCAGCACCTAGGGACCAGTTAAGGGTCTTGCCCAGAGTGGCAGTCTGTGAGAGTGGATTTCAAACTCTCAACCTCGGGATTCCAAACTGTCTTAACCACTAGGCTGCCAGTCCCACCTTTGAGTCTTAAAAAAATTGAATAGAATAAATAGCCATTTTAAGGGTCTATACACTTTAGAACAGGGGTTTTTAACGTTTTCCAGGCTAAGGACCCCCAAATTGATGGACCCCTTAAATTATATGCATTGTATGAAATAGTGTTATATCAAACTGGTCCTATAGTTACTCTATTACAGTTGGTGTCATGTACCGAAGGTAATTTTGCCCTGGGATTATTAAGTATTTCTGATTCGGATTCCTCTTTGATGGGACAGGTGTTGTGAAAGAGCTGTGTGTTGCTGAATGTGTGCATTGATGGAAAGACATCTTCTACCTCCATTTATCTGCTTACTAGAGTGTGTTGAATTCATTTTAATGTGTATTTAAAGACATTTCAATTTGTGGAAAAATTGCAAGGGGGATATGAAAAAAAAAAATCAACCAAAATTTTTAGGACCCACCATGCAGTACCTCCGTGGACCCCCTAGGGGTCGCAGATCTCCGCTTTAGAATGTGATAAAATATCTGATTGGTTAATCAGTACTGCGCTGTGTAAGCCCCGCCCATTATAGATTGTCCTGCAGCGGCCTTATTAAATCTTGTTTTATAAATGTGAGTTGAAACACCGTTTAACAATATGTTCTATAAATGTAAGTTATTATCCAAACTTAATGACATGTTTACGAGGAAAATAATTTCGCGCCATTATATTTCCGCCAGGATCAGCTGATTGTCACAAACGGGTCACGTGCCAAACACGGAAGTACTCGTTTAACATCAGAAACTCACCAAAATAAACGCACATACGATGCCTCCATGGCGCAGGTTGTGGCTCCTCTGAGCTGGGGTTTGCTTTGGTTGTGTTTCGGCGTCCTGTCGGCCTCCGAGCAGCTTCTGGAGCAGAGTCTGAACGGGAAATGGAGGCTTTCAAACTCCAACAGGTCGCTGGTTCTGCCTGCAGAGGTACCGGGCTGTGTCCACTCAGCCCTGCAGCAGCAGCAACACATCCAGGTAGGGAGAAAAGCGCCTGCAAAGTTTACCTTCAATCTCTAGTAGGTACCTAAAATACGGAAAGATAACATCTTTTAAATATGGCATTTGTTGGGACCCCTAACAAGCCCTCTATAAATAAGAAGGTTTTTATTTTTCATTGTTGGCTTGTATGGGAAGAAGTTATGGTCAATAAAAACGAATGCGCAGAAAGTCAATAACGTAAATATATGAAGGATTTGTGTTTGTTCCTTGATGTCAACTCGGATACATGTGACATAGGATCGGTGAGAAGGTATAAATTTACAACTTTGAATAAATCAAAGATTTTAAAGTTAAAAAATAAATACAAGTAGAGTCACAAATCCTAGATTTATAATATACAAATCAGAAATTTACAAGTAATTTCATGAGTCCTACCCATTCATTTGTGATTCATACTTGTAGTTTAGCAAAGCCATAACTCCTAAAATTATGGACTTCATCATAAGTAAAAAAAAAAAAAAAAGGAAGCTAACCCCCTCATATCCACAGTAAAGTAAGGCAGAGGACCTGTTATGCTGTGTGTTATGAATTCCTATGGAATACTGTTAGAAGATGCTGCATCATGAAAACTGGAATACCAGGAGAGGAGATAGAGACTAAAAATGAAGTGACCTCTAACATCTGTGTTCATCTTAGACCCCAAACTATTGACCATGGACCATGTCTTCTCTTCAAATGGAGGTGATTTGAAGAGAAGACATGATTATTTGGACTCTAGACGATCTAGAAAGAGATAGAGATGGTCAAAGATCGTTCTAACCGCATGCTCCAGTCGTTTGAAGTTGAGAGGGTGAACATTTGTACTTTCTTTGACTACAGATTAAATTGTGTTTTGATTGGTGTTTGCACCTTTATAAATAAACTAAAACAAACACTTTTTTTTTTATACCAGGACCCATATTTCAGGTTTAATGACTTGTTATACCAGTGGATTGCTCTGGACAACTGGACATATTCAACCACATTTGCTGTTTCTACCCAGATAAAGTTGGTTTTAATAGTTTTTTGGATTTTTTTTTTTTTTGGTTTGGTTTGTTTTATACATATCTGCATCTTTAATCTGCCTGCCTAATCTCTGCTTTACCAGAGTCAAACAGAAAGTGCTTCTCATCTTTGATGGCGTGGACACAGTCGCATCCGTTTCTCTTAATGGTATCGTTCTCGGAAAGACTGATAACATGTTTCGCCGATACGTGAGTCCAGCTTTAAAGGGAGTCGGGCCTTGCTTTGGTACCGGCAGTTTGAGTGTCTCTGTAAAGAGTCTCTTTCCATTTCTGTTTTGCAGGACTTTTCAGTCCGAGATCAGCTGAAAGTCGGTGATAACGTGCTGGAAGTCAGCTTCCTTTCACCGGTTCTCTACGCCTCGGAGCGGAGGAAAGCTCACTCTTCCTATGTCGTCCCACCTGAATGTCCTCCAGATGTCCAGAAAGGGGAATGTCATGTTAATTTTATTAGAAAAGTAAGAACTAAATATGCTTTTGCTTTAGAATTCTTAGATTTTTTTTTATTATCCAGATTATCTTTAATTTTAAGTCTTAAGTATGAAAGACCTATTTTGCTTGTTTCTGCAAGCTTTTCACATCTAGTGACTAGGGAGGGTAACGAACAATATATTTAGTCAAATAGAGTTATATTTCATTAAATGATACTGGTATTGATTCAAAGATGGATGAACTGATATTTAAAGAAATATTTGTTCCAACATCCACGTATTTCTCTTATTTATATAGAAGTTCTATATAACTGTTAAACCTCCAGCCACTAGGTGGCACTGTACCGCCCAGAGCAACAACAAGATGTCATGAGGTTTTCCAGAGTTCTAATATTAGTAAAATCTCAATATATAAACAATGACTTTCATTTCCCTATTCATGAAAAGCTAATGAGAAAGAATACAGTCCATGGAGGATTATAAAGATAGAAAATAAAAGGAAATAAATCACTATAAGGTTGCGTGTATCTATTTAAAAATGCATGGAGATGAACATAGAAAGTAATAAGGTTGATTAAATCATAATACTTTTTTACAGCCTAACCGTGACCCTAACCATTACCCTAATCCTAACCTAAAATATATTCACACCTTAGTCCTAAACCCCAAACACCAAAGCCTAAAACTGCTTTTTTACCCATGGGGACCAGTTATTGGTCCCCACAATGTGCTAAGATTTATGTAAAATGGTCCCCACCATGTAATATAAATGCTCCCACACACAGAAATATAGGCTCATGAATGACTGGCAAAAATTTCTGTTTGGTTTCCCCTTTTTGCTTTATGGCAATCTGTAAGCCATTTGTTTTATTATTAAAGTTTGAAAGTCCTCAAATTTAATGCACTTAGAGACGATGCATTATTTTCTGTTAGATTATCATATCAAATCCATTAAAATGTGTGGTTTTCAAGAGAAAATGTAGAAAGATTTGTGAGGCAGAGCAACATGGTTTTGACTAGAAGATAAAGAAGTGCTCTTATCTTATTTTGAACTTTTTCTGTTGTTTGAAAGCCCAGTCTTTTGTCTGTCATTAAGAGTTTAGTGTTTAACTTCTTGTTTCAAACTGAACCCTGTAGGAGCAGAGCTCCTTCAGTTGGGACTGGGGACCTTCCTTCCCGACTGTGGGCCTTTGGAAAGGCGTTCGATTGGAAGCGTTTGACATCCTGCAGCTTATCCAGTTATCCGCTCTTCCTCTCTACAGTAGGTTTTCTATGTGAATTTCATCACCATCTTTTACTTGTTTGGAACATATATCAGAGCATGGTAAATATATAGCTGAGCGTGATTTTCCTGCTTTCTGCATTTGCTGGTTAAGTAGTTATTTTGTTTGCATGCATTCCGACAGATGGGAGCTTCTGTTGTGTTGACATTTTATTTGATCAACAAATTCATGTTTTCCTCTTTTCCAGATCACAGCTGCTCTCAGTGGAGGCTGCAGGTTGAGTTTCTTGTTGATGTAGTCCGGACATTCAACTGCAAAATAGAGCTTTCTATACCCGAGCTGGGGTTGAATCAGACTTTTCAGACTCAGTTTGTCCAGGGAAGATTAAACTACAACTTCACCTTAAACATAAATCAGGTTAGGGTGTTTTAAAGATCAGTAATAGTTAACTTGGTTGTCACTATTTGTTTAAAAATAAATCTGTTTTATATGCCAGAACAGAGAAGTGAATCTGTGGTGGCCCCGTGGACATGGCGATCAGCCTTCTTACCTTCTCAAAGTGCGGGGATTTCTGGAGACGTTTTTGATCCTGAGTAAAGAATCCAAGGTCCGACTTCATTTCTTTGTCCTAGTTTTTTCTGGTATTTTACTTTTGTTGCTCTAAAATCGCTAAAAGGACCATACTGTCATTAAGAAGGGAGAATATTATGCACACACCTATATGTGAGTTTTCTCCCATCCAGACTAGACTCAAGCACACAAACGTTCTAAGTTTGCCTCCTGGTGTTTTCAGTGAGGGATCTAGAACCTCTGGCAGCACATGGCGATAGAAAGTTGGCATGACTGAATCCAGCTGATTCTAGTTCGTTTAGCCTTCTGGTACTTGATGATTTCTTGATTTTTTTTTTTTT